GGATCCGATTCGGATCCCACAGTGCGAGAGGAGCAGGACCTAAGCAGGCTCCGGATGATGGCCGCCCGGCTCCGGGAAAGCTCCGGGAGGTCATAGCACCATGGGCTCCGGTACCACCAAAGGTGACTGGGCTCCGAAGCCCAGAGGGGTTCCCAAAGTCTGGAAGGAGAGCTCCGGAGGCTACCTTAGGGCGTGGGAGCTCCGAGGGGCCCCTAAAGCCCGATATGCCGGCCGGAGCGGATCATATCTCATGTGCTCTCACAAGACAAGCCAAGAACCAGGCGCTAGTGGACGTGAATAAATGCGTACTACGCGCCCCAACTAACTCTGACACTGTTGATGGCTGCCAAGCGGAGCACGCTATTACCCAGGGGATGCCTTTACCCGGGTAATAGCGAGGTCGCTCGGAAACAGCGGTGCCCCCATGCTGGGGGCAGCACTCCTGTCCTCTGTCAAATTACCGCTAGGACCAAGGTGGGCCCACCGGTAAGTCGCATAGGCATATCATAAGGATAGGGACACTGAGGCCTTTTCCTCTTATGTATCCATGTAAATAAATACTTCCTCCGTCCCATAATACTTGTCTTTCTAGCATTTAAAAATTGTCCCAAAATAGTTGTCATTTTGAAGTACTACATGTCACATCAACCATTTCCAATTCAAATTTCTCCCCATTCTACCCCTAACCACCATTCCACATCCAACTATCCATTATTAATTAAGGGGTATTATAGTATTTTTCTTCAAAATATTAGTATATGCTAAACAACCTATAACGACAAGTATTTTGGGACGGAGGTAGGATGTAAATATCACCCATAGAGGGCAGATTGAATACATGAGAGAAATTGAGACACTTGTTGAATTCTTGCAACAACATTAATGACTCAACTATATATATGTGTCTCAGACTCGTTCGGTCTAACGTATATATCTAGTGGTATTTTTCAAACTCTGAAACTTCTATGGTGGTGTTTATGCCCGAATGTCTTTATTTCCTTGTTTTTCTCATTTATGATCATGTATATTTTAGCAGTTTTAAATTACTTCCCATTTTAGATTTTCCATAAGTTAAACATGTCTATCTTTGACTACCAACATCTACAAATCTAAAAAAAAATAGTTTGACAACATGTGAAGTATATATTATGAAATTTTTTTCAAGGTGAATCTAAAAGCATACTCCTAAATCTTATGATGTTAAATTATATAATTTTTTAGAAACCGGTAGTCAAAATAAATATTTGACTTAAGATATATAGGTAAAACTATAACAAGAAGTAATTTGAAACAATTTTTTTGGATTGATCCTATATATCTATGTGCAGTAAATGTATACTCTGTATATGATCGATTGACTATTTGACTTGTAAGAGGATGTATATACCCCTATATATCTACTTGTGAATTATACTCTATCTATTGACTACAGTGTCTCGAAAAAATGTCATGCATGCATAGACATGACCACTAGATAATGGTGGAAAACTGGAAATAAATCAGTTAATACTGCCATTTATGAGGCTTATGTGATTAGAGGACGCGTCTGAGAAGATAGCGCGATTATGACATGCTGATGAAGAGAGATGCGGCATTTAGCAGGCGATTTGTACTTCCTTCCAATCCACGTACCCAATAGATAAGACGTTGCTGAATGCTGATCAGCACCGGGCGGATTGTCCAATTAATTGTCCTCTTTTGGCTTTCATGTTCAGGTTGGGTAACACTAGGAAACTTAAAGAAATAATCTGGACCGGTGATCCCGAAGATCACAGTACGTACATCCTCCGATAATTTTCTGAATCGTAGTTAAACATGCGAAAATAATTGTAAATCAAAAACAGAACTCGAACTTCAGAACCAGCAATGTTATAACTCAACTGTTCAATCAAAGAATAGGTTGAAAATGACAAACTGATCGAGCATCATAAGGATTTTGACATATGCATGTGTTTATTGGTATTTCCAGTGATCAGATACAAGAGAAGTCATTGCCTCATTGGCATCTAGAGTTGAAAATTTTAATGTTGAATACGTCTAGAGAGGAAATTGCATTCTTACTTCTATTATCTAAAAAACATCTGCTAAGTTGACAATGACGATAGCTACATTTTCCGTTTGGGATGTGATTATATATATGTGCATATGCAGAGAAAAACCTCTATGTTCTTACCACACTTATTGTCATTTTTCCTGTGGACAAATCTACCCATTGGTTCTGGAGCCATTAGTCGGGTTCGATGATCTGTATCGTGATATAAACAAACGAGAGAAAAATTATAAATAGAATGGTACATGAGTCATCTGAATTACTCCCTCCGTTTTAAAATGTTTGACACCGTTGACTTTTTAGCATATGTTTGACCGTTCGTCTTATTAAAAAAAATTATGAAATATGTAAAACTATATGTGTACATGAAAGTATATTTAACAATGAATCAAATGATAGGAAAAGAATTAATAATTACTTAAAATTTTTAAATAAGACGAATGGTCAAACATGTACTAAAAAGTCAACTATGTCAAATATTTTGAAACGGAGGGAGTATTTAACTTTCATCTTTGTAGGTTGACGACATCTATATCTAGTTTCTGAAATGTTCAGAACTAGGAGCACCCCTGCACTTGGTTTCTCAGGCTAAATCCTTTGTTCTGTAGCGTTTCAGAGTATGATCTCACGAGTAGCATCGTGCACATATATAAAGTAGTAACATGTTTATGATTTTTAATTTTTGCAGAGATCAGATTCCTGGTCCCATTCTTGCCGTGCTTGACACATACTCTTCTGGAGGCAGCGGATTCCTGTGTAGCTAGGTAGGCTGACCTGAATATACCAGTGGATACGTGCAGACAACGAGCAATATATTAATCGTGATAGTGGCAAATTCAACGCTTTCACCTCTCACTAATCGCAGTTGCAACCCTTCAAATCCCTTTCGTTCACGTCAACTCTTTGGGTGCTACTAGTGGTCGAGAATAAGGGGATTTAAGCCAACCTTGCTTGGTCAATTTTGTGGATCACGGTAATGCGATTGGTTGACTACTTAAGCAGTTGTGGATACGTCTTGGTAACTATCATGTGTAAATAAAGTTAATTACTTCATTACCGACGAACTAATAATCAAGGTGTAGCTTGCAATTGTTAAGGCTTAAATTATGTGCAACTGATTAATTGACATACTAATTCTTTGTGCTCGGTAGCATGATTAATCACATTGATTCGAGCCCAGAAATTATTGAAGACCTCTCTCTATCTTCCCTTTTATTTTATTTTTAAAAAGAAGCAAATTCTTGAACTTCTCATCTTAGGCTTTGGTTTAGCATTCAATTTTGCAGAGAAGCGTTGTTTTGTCCATAGAAATTTGTCATGAATCATTGTCTTTCCGTTGTCACAAGCCGTTGTTGTAATCTGCAAGGAGATATCCTTGATAGGACAGTAACAAGGGGTATATAGGGCATGTTTAGATTGATGCCCAACCAAAATTTTGGTAGTGTCAAATTTTGGGCAAGTTTTGGTACTATCAAAATTTTAGTAGGGTAGAGTTGAAAATGTTTATTTGGATTGAAGCCAAAATTTGCCCATAAGAGACAAGTTCATAGGCAAAGCCAAATTTATGGCACTGGTAGAGTTTTAGTAGAGATGTTTGGTTTGCTACCCTACCAAAATTTTGGTAGGGCAAATTTTGGTAGGGTAGCAATTTAAATTGGCCCATAATTTTAACTTCGAGATCTTGTATTTAATCCCTAACTCGCTACAATTTATACTTAAAAAGTATTTAGAAGTACGACTCTCCTCCAAAATCTCCTCCTGTTTTTGTTGTCGCCTGCACGAGTGCACGTGTCAGCTTGCTGGTGCAAGCGATCAATCGGTGACCGCCTGACCAGCCGGATCGAGATCGATCAGATCAGGCGCCGCTTGCGCCTCAGCTCGAGCCGAGCGGATAGCGGCGTTGTCCTACGTGCAAATGGCGCTACGCGCTAATGAACAAAGAACCCAACAAATCCAACGCGACAGCCGGATCGATCGCCGTTAAACTTGTGGATCGATAAGATGATGATGATGAGAAAAGGTGAAAAACAACTGGGTTTCGCCGCCTAATTGAGCGCGCGGCTTTGGCTCCCCGCGCCCGCTCGCCTCATCGGCATCGCCGCATCGCCGGCTGTGCCTCGCTGTCGCCGTGGCCCCCGCCAGCCGCTCCCCGTTTCCGCACGTCGCTCTCGGCTCGCTGCAGCTGAGCTAAAAGATTCTGCTTTAGCTGCGTCGGATTACGGGCTTTGCGGTTTGCGATCAACACCCTCTGAAGATGTAAATTATCGCGCATTTTGCCCATAGTTTTTTTTCCTCTTGTGAGGGTTGATGGAAGATTGTGAGCTTTTGAAGTCTACATTGTGTAATCTTCATATAACTGTCATGCAGTTCTTTGTAACTTTGGATGACAGTATAGAAATATGGTTCAATAATTATGTGCTTTTTATCTTGTGTTGATGTTCATTCCTTTGTGTTTGCTTTAATTATGGGAGTGTTTTTTAAGTTTACTTTGAGATACACTCGCTTCAAGTAATTTGATGTAATAATTGGCTGTAACTCGCTAGGTAAAGGCCGGGATGATTTTATATTCCATAATTAGAAAAAAAAACTTTTTTCACCACCTGCAGACTGCAGTTACATTTCCTACCAAAATGCATGCCATTTGATAAAATTCTTAGTTATAATAAATTTAGGACGGAGGAGTATAATTTATAGCATACTGTAGAAATTTTTTCAAATTATGATATGTCCCTGGAAGTATTTGCTGTAAAACATTGGAGTCCCCCCTCCCGGCCATGTTGCTTTAGAAAAAAAAACATTGATGCCACCTACAAGGCTACAACAAGAATCAACGAAGAATCAGAGGGAGAAAAAAAAAGAAGTCCAAGAAAATACCACACGAAAATCTACGGGAAGATAGGGGGTGGTAGCGGCTATTGCGGGTCCCACACAAAATAACCCTATAAAAATGAGGGCGCGTGCTGCTCTGTAGAACTTCAGAGCAGAGAGAGAAGAAGCGATACACACTACACTACCACGAGGTGGAGAGGCGAAGAAGCCGAGCGATCGGAGAGGGGAGAAAGCGGCCGGCGAGCCGCAGTTCGCCGGCGATCTCCATCCATCCGAGGTGAAGAGGAAACGACAGTTCAAATCTTCCACAGAATCGTGAGGTATAGGAATCTCAGCTTTGTTTGTTTTTACGGCGTGATCTGCTTCTACTACGTGTGTTCGTCTCCTTTTCTGTTCCTCTTTTCCCGGTAGATTTCTCGGTTTATCCGAGGAGTTGTTGGTCACTTTTAGTTATCCGTAATACGGAGTAGTACTTATCTTGGTTTTATCTAAGATGGGTAGAACTAGACAATTCTGAACTTTCTGCAAGCTAATGTGCAGTTCTATATTTTAAAAAAAATTCTAATATTTTTTTATAATTTAATTAACTACCTTTGTTATTATCTCTAACGTTTTCTGTTGCATTTGCAAATTTTGTGTGCAGATTTAAAATAGCAGTTCTACTCTACTAGTAGCGGAGGCATTCGTTCCCGCGCGGGCAATGTCGGCGGCGCAGGGCCTTGCGCTGAAGCTGCGCGCCGCGCCGGCGGCGGGTGGCGTCCGCGGGGAGAAGCGGCGCCGCGCGGCATCGGCGACCGCGGCGGCGGCGGCGCGGCCTCGCCACGGCGCCATGTCGCTGGAGGGCGGGTTCCTCGGCGGCGCGCTCCCCGCCGAGGACCGGGTGGCGCCGCGGGCATCGGCGTCGCGCCAGGCAGAGGCGGGGGCTGGGGCGGGGGCGGCGCGTCCTCCTCCCAGGTCGATGTCGAAGATCCCCGAGAGCAGCATTGGGCTGTACGACCCCTCCATGGAGCGCGACTCCTGCGGCGTCGGCTTCATCGCCGAGCTCTCCGGCGAGTACAGCCGCAAAACGGTGAGGTTTCCGCGGCTAAGCACGGCGCTGGAGTTGATTGTTCCCGTGCAAACAATCGAAACCCCCAACGCGGCGTGAATTTCTGATATTCTGAAATTGTTCTCGGTTTTGCAGGTCGACGACGCCATAGAGATGCTCGATAGAATGGCTCACCGTGGCGCCTGCGGCTGCGAGAAGAACACCGGAGATGGCGCAGGCATCCTCGTCGCTCTGCCGCACAACTTCTTCAGAGAGGCAAACCTACTTGAAGTTTTAAGCCGAGAAATATGGGAATTTTCTACCGCTGGGGGAATCATTTTTTTTTCTGCCTGTTTTTGTTTTTTTGTGTTCTGACAGGTCACGAAGGACGCAGGTTTTGAGCTTCCGCCGCCTGGTGAGTACGCCGTCGGGATGTTTTTCATGCCCACAGATGACAAACGCCGTGAAAAGAGCAAGCTTTTGTTTCGTGAGGTTGGTGACCAAGCAGAACACTAGAACAGTTCAGTTCAATCCTATTGTAACTGATATCATGATACCATTCTCAATTTCGTGTTGTATCTTTGGATTTGTTTGGGTTCATGCAGAAAGCAGAGTTGCTGGGGCATACCGTCCTCGGCTGGCGCCGGGTTCCCACAGACAACTCGGGCTTGGGTCAATCAGCGGTAGATACAGAACCAGTGATTGAGCAAGTGTTTGTCACCAAAAGTGCAAGTTCAAAGGCTGATTTTGAGCGGCAGGTTATTTGATGAGCCAGCACATTTGAACTTTATGGATTTCATCCGTAGCTGTTAATTTTTCCTTGACTTGTTCTTTTGTTGACTGCAACTCCAGATGTACGTCCTACGGAGGTTCTCAGTTATGTCCATACGAGAAGTTCTAGGCGTCAAGAATGGCGGAACAAAAGATTTCTACATGTGCTCTCTATCTTCAAGGTTCTGTGTTACCATCCCATTAAAGAATGTGGTTTAAGTTTCCAACCTTGGGTAATTTGAAGCGCTAGCCACTAAGGATTTCAGTTATCTGTATTAAGCAACAGTAAGCTGTGATATGGAATAAAAAAAAACATGTTTCAGAAATGCTTCATTTTGATAACAAGGAATAGAAGAAAACTTTTGGATGTTTTTTTTTCCTTTGTGATTTGATCTCATCTGAAGTGAAGTTTGATTTGGTCACATGTGCATGCATTCCATTTTCTGCCAAGTAATTATTTCCTGAAATTCGGTTTTTTACAGGACCATTGTTTATAAGGGTCAGCTTAAGCCAAGCCAACTCAAGGGGTACTTCTTTGCAGACTTAGGCGATGAAAGCTTCACAAGTTACATGGCACTGGTAAGTGAATAACCATTTCAATATTGTCTGAACAACAAAATCCATGATCATAGTCAGAAGATAGGATTACTAGCAGCAAGATTTTTGTGAGGATATATAATGCTTCTAAGCAGGCATCAAATATCCTCTTTTCTTTTATTAATATTAATATGCTATTTCCCTCCTGTTTCGTGATGCCTTTGGCTGAAGCTGTAGAAACTGAAACTGTGTCAGCTGATGCCCAACAAAAAAGACACTTCAGAATCCTTGTGTAGTTCTGCTATTAGGTACTGCTTTTTCAGAATGTGTATCCTAATTAGGTGGTTTGAACAAACTTTATTTGGCTTGAGGTAGCTTAGGTTCTGAAACTGTTTTACATGGATGATAGCATATGGAGCAGGATTCAAGGATAGATAGTACTGGCCTACTGGGTATTCATATGAAACCATATTGCATATCATTTATATGTAGTTGTGCAAAAGATGAACAAGGTATAGTTTAAAAGTTATGCATGCAAACAGATCCACTCAAGATTTTCCACGAACACCTTCCCTAGTTGGGATCGAGCGCAACCAATGCGTGTTTTGGGGCATAATGGCGAGATCAATACCCTTAGAGGGAACAAGAACTGGTAATTTCACTAAACACATCTCTCATCATTTTCTTGTGAGCAAGAATCTTCACATGCCTATGGACCATGGAGCTTATATTTATATGCTTACTTGCACTTTTGTCCTATTTCCATGTTTGGTAGGATGAAGGCACGTGAGGGTCTCTTGAAGTGCGAGGGACTAGGTCTAACAAGGGATGAAATGTTGAAACTTCTGCCGATAGTGGATGCTACATCTTCGGATTCAGGTTCCATTCCTTTATCATAATTTACACATGATAAAAATAAAAGCAGTAGTTTGCTGCTAGCTCTGTCTCTGAAACAATGTGTGTGTGTGTGTGTATGTATACATATATATATTGGGAATACGTGAGACGCACATTTTTGTATTAAGAGAAATAAATGTGTATATTTGGGATTCCATATCCCTTTTCACCTGTCAAATGGAAGTATGGCCATCTTTGCAAAGTTATTTATTGAATTATCTTGTGAATTCAGGTGCAATCGACAATGTTCTTGAGCTTCTCATACAATCTGGAAGAAGTGCGCCAGAGGCTGTCATGATGATGATCCCTGAGGCGTGGCAAAACGATGTTAACATGGACCCTGAGAGAAAAGCTTTGTATGAGTTCTTTTCAGCACTTATGGAGCCTTGGGATGGACCAGCTCTAATCTCATGTAACAAGATAAAACTAAACTCTCTTCTTAATATTGATGCATGCATTATGATAGATAAGTATCAATTCTGACCTGGTCTTCACGCACAGTTACTGATGGCCGCTACCTTGGTGCAACCCTTGATCGTAATGGTTTGAGGCCAGGCCGGTTTTATGTGACCTACAGTGGCCGTGTAATTATGGCTAGTGAAGTTGGTGTGGTCGATGTTCCTCCTCAAGATGTTTCAAGAAAGGGTAGGCTAAACCCTGGAATGATGCTTTTAGTTGATTTTGAGAACCATTGTGTTGTGAATGATGATGAATTGAAGAAAGAGTACTCCAAAGTTCGTCCATATGGAGAGTGGCTGAAAAGACAAAGGATACAACTCACAGATATCATAGAATCTGTAAATGAAGCAGAGAGAATTGCACCGAGCATTTCGGGTGCACTTCCAGTAAGTTAATTATCTTGCTAACTTTTGGAGTGTCCTGTTGGTTAGTAATTTACCATGTAATGGTGAGGTATTTTATGGATTTTTCACACTTTGCTGCAGATTACAAAGGAGAACAAAGCAGATATGGGTATCTGCGGAATTCTGACTCCGCTGAAGGCTTTTGGGTAAGCAACAGCCCAATCTTAGTATGTTTCTTCTCATCCTCCTTGTTGAAAAATTACCTATTTGGTTGGATTCAGGTATACAAGAGAAGCCCTTGAAATGCTGATGCTACCGATGGCCAAAGATGGACAAGAAGCTCTTGGATCAATGGGAAATGATACTCCTCTAGCTGTGATGTCAAACAGAGAGAAGCTGACTTTTGAATACTTCAAGCAGATGTTTGCACAAGTTACAAACCCACCGATTGACCCGATCCGGGAGAAAATTGTCACATCTATGGAGTGCATGATTGGTCCTGAAGGTGACTTGTCTGAAACAACAGAGCGGCAGTGCCATCGCCTCACGCTTAAGAGTCCTTTACTGAATACAAATGAAATGGAGGCTATTAAAAAGATGAACTACCGGGGTTGGCGCAGCAAGGTGCTTGACATAACTTATCCTAAAAAGAATGGCAGGATGGGCTTAAAACAGACTTTAGATAAAATTTGTGCTCAAGCACGTGAAGCTATTCATGAGGGCTACACTATTCTAGTTCTCTCTGATAGAGGTCAGTAAGATTCAGTTACACCAGACTCACTAAGCATGAATTTTATGATCCATGAATTTATCATCATCTAGATATAGATTCATGAGCAATAGTGTTAGTATGAAATCAATATTCTCCCCAAAATCTTTACTTTTGAGCTGAATTCAATATTGTGTTATTGTGGTATGAAAGATATCAAGATTTTTTTCTATACAGATCATGAATAAGTATATTTTCGTAACAACATGTTAACAGTCAACATCTTAGTTTCATCTTAGGTTAGGTCGTACTTAGTTTTTCTTGCTCCTCTTGGATCATGTGTCAACATAGCTCAGCTTTTCTTCTTTTTTTTTTTTTTGCATCCAAGCTCAGCTTTCCCAAGCTTGTCACCATGATATGTGCTCTGCATTTCAATGTTTAATTCTCAAAATTAACTTGATCCGTCATCTGTAGCATTTGGATTAAAACATTTGCTTTAACTAGAAGTTTCCATACAGGTTTTTCTTCAGAGCGTGTAGCTGTCAGTTCCCTATTGGCAGTTGGAGCTGTCCATCAGCACCTTGTCTCACATCTTGAGAGGACACGCATAGGATTGTTAGTTGAATCTGCTGAACCTCGCGAAGTGCACCATTTTTCCACCCTTATTGGATTTGGTGCTGATGCTATATGCCCTTATTTAGCTATAGAAGCAATATGGCGGTTGCAAATTGATGGGAGGATTCCTCCTAATGATGGGAAACCTTATACACAAGAACAACTTATCGAGAAATATTTTTATGCTTCAAACTATGGAATGATGAAAGTTCTTGCGAAGATGGGAATATCCACTCTGGCATCTTACAAAGGTGCTCAGATTTTTGAGGCCCTTGGTCTTGCTTCGGAAGTGGTCAGCAAGTGTTTTGAAGGTACTCCTAGTAGAGTTGAAGGTGCAACCTTTGAAATGCTTGCACAAGATGCTCTTCGTCTCCATGAGATTGCATTCCCATCAAGAACTTTACCTCCTGGAAGTGCAGATGCAAATGCTCTTCCCAACCCTGGGGATTACCATTGGAGGAAAAATGGAGAAGTACACCTTAATGATCCTTTTTCCATTGCAAAATTACAAGAAGCAGCACGGATTAACAGCAGGGAAGCATACAAAGAATATTCTAGGCGCATTTACGAGCTGAATAAGGCATGTACTCTGCGTGGCATGCTGAAATTTAGAGAAATTCCAAACCAAATTTCCTTGGACGAGGTAGAACCTGCAAAGGAGATAGTGAAGCGGTTCTGTACTGGAGCAATGAGTTATGGATCCATTTCCTTGGAAGCTCATACTTCCCTGGCTGAGGCTATGAACACCCTTGGAGGAAAATCTAACACAGGTATCTCGCATCATATACGGACCTGAACTTTTGCTGAGTCAGTTACTTTAAATGTCATGTGTGCTTTGTGTTGCATGTTTGCTTGATATAGTTCTAAGCTTCTTGATTTCCCATGATAACTTGCAAAAACTTTGAGCTAAAAAGTAACATCTAAAAACTAGTTGGCTCTTTTAGATCCTTTTAACATTGTTATTCCCAAATCACTTGAATTATGCTTAAAGTTCTTAATTATATGTGCCTGGAACGTGAAGGTTATATAACTATTAAGAATGGGAGCAAAGGCCAGTTAACAACTCAAACACTGACCTTCTTCCGTGGCACAGGTTAAGCTTTATAGTAGCCAAATTACCCTTGATATTGGAAATAGAAGTATAATATCCCCCCATTAGTTGCCAGACCAATTTTTGACGGTGTCGATTGAACTGCGTATCATTACATAGTGGGAGGGTAACCACATAAGCGTAGAGTTGTAACACCATATGACCCAAAATTCGCCCAATGGCTGGGCCTCCATTTGGTGGTGGGGGATGGGCCACTCTTGCATAGCACCTTACTTGGGCTTTCATCCTTGCTTTCCCAGAAAGGTTAACAAGATCAGGAAATGTTATATTTTGGGCCAACAGGGCTTATACGCTACTATAGCTAAAGGTAAACAGGCAATTGGTTTTTTTACCTTTCCAGTCGAACCATTTGCTTTGGGTAGATGGTGTTGTGAGAACTTTGTTCCTTTCAATCTTAATACAAATGATGCACAAAGCTTATGCGCATTCCCTAAGAAAAACGTAAGTGAATAAATCAGGGGATCCTTTGACAGGCGTATAAGGCTTTCTTTTTTGTTAATTGATAGTAGGCATATATCACTTGGATTCAATCCAGTAGCTTAGATCATAGTCTTTGTTTGTTCTCCGATTTCAGGGCTAGTCGCAATTTGATATGAACCTTTATTTTAAATTCCTTCTGAACTATTTTCATATGCTACACAGAAACAAATGGGAAGATGCCTGTTGTTTGCTTATTTGAGCACAGCAGCTAGGCTGATGCAAGTTATTTATCAACTTTTGTTCATTCTTCTCTAATATTGCACTTCCTATCTGCAGAGCATCTTATGTAAACCTTTTTATGACTTATTTGTGCACAGCTATTTATTTAGAATATCAACTTACTACTGTAGTGAATTTGCTAACTGACTCCATTTTATATGTTAATTGGGACATCTAAAAAGGTGAGGGAGGGGAACAACCTTGCCGTATGGTGCCTCTTCCTGATGGATCAAAGAATCCAAGAATAAGTGCAATCAAGCAAGTTGCCAGCGGAAGATTTGGAGTTTCCATCTATTATTTGACTAATGCAGTTGAGGTGCAGATAAAAATGGCTCAGGTATTTGACCAGATTGGTTTTTTGTAAAACTAAACGAGTTACTTCCTGCAATATGTCCATGACCACTGGTCTGGCTATTTCATCAGGCAGTAGAAATTTATGTCTTGTTCCTCTAACTGTATAGGGTGCTAAACCTGGTGAAGGTGGTGAGCTACCAGGCCACAAGGTCATTGGTGATATTGCAGTCACTAGAAATTCTACAGCTGGTGTAGGGCTCATTAGCCCACCTCCTCACCACGATATATATTCTATTGAGGATCTCGCACAACTTATCCATGACCTTAAGGTATAGTCTCATTTGTAAAAAGTCTCATGATGGTGGCTTATAACTATTTAGTGCAAGACTCCAGTTTGCCACTTACACATTTACTTCCTTATTAATTGGCATTTTTTTGTTGTAATGTTTCATATTAGAGAACCTTTTTAATTGAAATCATGCATGTTGCACTTTACAGTTTTGCTTGCTTATGCTATATCGCTTCTTTCTACTGTAGAATGCAAACCCAGGTGCCAGAATCAGCGTCAAACTAGTCTCTGAAGCTGGTGTAGGAATTGTCGCTAGTGGTGTGGTGAAAGGACATGCAGACCATGTTCTGATCTCTGGACATGATGGAGGCACTGGAGCCTCCAGATGGACAGGGATTAAAAATGCTGGACTTCCTTGGGAGCTTGGATTAGCTGAAACACACCAGACTCTTGTGGCCAATGGTCTCCGTGGCCGAGCTGTTCTTCAGACAGATGGACAGATGAAAACTGGTAGAGATGTTGCTGTTGCTTGTTTACTTGGAGCAGAAGAATTTGGATTCAGCACAGCGCCATTAATCACACTTGGCTGCATTATGATGAGGAAGTGCCATACCAACACTTGCCCTGCTGGTATTGCTACACAAGATCCAGTGCTCCGCGCAAAGTTTGCTGGGAAGCCAGAACATGTCATAAACTACTTCTTCATGCTTGCTGAAGAGGTACGAGAAATCATGGCACAGCTTGGCTTCCGCACTGTTAATGAAATGGTTGGGCGATCGGACATGCTTGAGATCGATCCCAAAGTACTGGAGGGCAACGAGAAACTTGAAAACATTGATCTCTCACGGCTGCTGAAACCAGCTGCTGAAATTAGCCCTGGGGCTGTTCAATATTGTGTTGAGAAGCAAGATCATGGCCTCGACATGGCATTAGATAACAAACTCATAGCCTCCTCAACAGCTGCCCTTCGAAAAGGTGTTCGTGTTTTCATTGAGACACCAGTACGGAACATTAACCGAGCTGTTGGTACTATGCTCAGCCATGAAGTCACAAAACGGTATCACATTCATGGATTGCCATCAGATACCATCCATATTAAGCTGAATGGAAGTGCTGGCCAAAGTTTTGGTGCTTTTCTCTGTCCTGGGATCACTCTTGAGCTTGAGGGAGACAGCAACGATTATGTTGGTAAGGGACTATCTGGTGGAAAGATTGTTGTGTATCCACCAAGAAATAGTCGATTTAATCCACAAGACAATATTGTGATTGGTAATGTGGCTTTATATGGTGCTACAAAGGGAGAGGCATATTTCAATGGTATGGCGGCAGAAAGGTTTTGTGTCCGCAATTCAGGAGCTCAAGCAGTAGTTGAAGGGATTGGCGATCATGGATGTGAGTACATGACAGGAGGTACAGCTGTTATTCTTGGAAAAACTGGTAGGAACTTTGCAGCTGGCATGAGTGGAGGTATTGCTTATGTTTATGATGTGGATGGGAAGTTCAGTAGCCGTTGCAACTATGAGCTAGTTGACTTGTATGCTGTAGTTGAAGAGGATGACATCACAACATTGAGAATGATGATACAACAGCACAGACTTCATACACAAAGTGATTTGGCCAGAGATATACTCTTGAATTTTGATACTCTCCTCCCAAAATTTATAAAAGTATATCCAAGGGATTACAAGCGGGTTTTGGATAAACTAAAAGAAGAGAAGGCTGCTAAAGAAGCAGAGCAAAAGGCAAGAGAAGTGGTGGATAAGAAGCCAGTTGAAGTAATTCAAGCTCCAAATGGCATTTCAGTAAAGACAGAGGTAAATAAGGTTTAAGCAGGATTATTTCTCATTCTCTATATCGGTGATATTTAACTTGACTGTTGGAAATTTATGATGTCCTTCTTAAAATAGTTATTATTGTAATTCTGTAAGCTAAGCTTTCTAGTCTGACTTAAAGTCTTTGATATGCAGAAAGTAATGAACGAAGAGCCATCAAGCCGACCATCACGAGTTTCAAATGCTGTAAAGTACCGAGGTTTCATAAAATATGAGCGAGAGGGTACTTCTTACAGAGATCCAAATGAGCGTGTAAAAGATTGGAATGAAGTTGCAATTGAATTGGTTCCTGGGCCACTGCTAAAGACGCAATCTGCTCGGTGCATGGATTGTGGCACTCCTTTCTGTCATCAGGTGATACTCAGTTTTTTTCCCTTTTGTATTAAGCAGTTTTTTTTCATAAAATACAATGATGCTTTTCAGTACAGTAGTTTTATATGAATGTCACCCGGCAAAAAAGTTTTATATGAATGTCCTTGATGCTCTTGATTTCTTGTCCATATATATTAGTGCATATAGTCGTGCATTCGCACGAATTTAACCATCCTCTATACTGAATATCTTTACATATTATTTGTAGTAACAAAATATACTTCCCTTTTTAATAGATGACACTGTTAACTTTTAACATAATATTTAATCATTCATCTTATTAAAAAATATTATGTAAATGTTAATTTTTTTGGTCTGACTTGTTTTATCATTACTGCGTTATGATATTTTGGTAAGTTGGCAATGGTAGGGTATGCTTAGTTAGTTACCCTATAAAATTTGGTATTTTTTTCTATTTTATTTAATTTTTAGGTAAACTAAATTCATAATATTTTACTTTACTTTAGAAAGTGTGTTCGTTGAAAAAAAAACTGAGATGGTTAATTTGTGTGCTAAACAAAACCGACAATCGAGTGTACTTTATGCAATGTTTAAAAAAGTGTGTAAAGAATATAATCTATCTATTATATTATTAAAGGAATAGAAAAAGAAGCCTCCACGTTCGCTCTCATGGCCTAGAAATTCTCACATTAATCGGAGAAAAAGAAAAGACAGAGTCCATATAGAAATACAATTTAGAAATAGCTGAAATTTGGAATTAAAAAATAAGGAATATTAGAAGAGGAGACTAGAGTCCATATAGAAATACAATTTAGAAATAGTTGAAATTCGGAATTAAAAAATAAGGAATATTAGAAGAGGAGACTAGAGTCCATATAGAAATACAATTAGGAAATAACTGAAATTCGGAATTAAAAAGAAGGAATATTCGAAGTAGAGTATAGAGTCCATATAGAAATACAATTAGGAAATAACTCAAATTCGGAATTAAAAAATAAGGAATATTAGAAAAGGAGACTAGAGTCCATATAGAAATATAATTTAAAATTAGTTGAAATTCGGAATTAAAAAATAAGGAATATTAGAAGAGGAGACTAGAGTCCATATAGAAATACAATTAGGAAATAACTGATATTCGGAATTAAAAATAAGGAATATTAGAAGTAGAGTATAGAGTCCATATAGAAATACAATTAGAAAATAATAGAAAATCGGAATTAAAAATAATGAATATTAGAAGTAGAGTATATAGTCCATATAGAAATACAATTAAGAAAAAAAATAAATTCGGAATTAAAAAATAAGGAATATTAGAAGTAGAGTATAGAGTCCATATAGGAATTTAAAACTAACTAAAATTCAGAATAAACATAATAAAATTAAAAGTAGAGTTTAGAGTCTGTATAAAAATACAATTTACAAATAACTAAAATTCGAGATTAAGAAAAACATGGAAAGAAGAGTTTAAAGTCAATATAGGAATACAATTTAGAAGTAACTGAAATTCGAAATTAAAAATTAAAGAATATTGAAAGATAAGTTTAGAGTCCACATAGAAATACAATTAGAAATAATAAAAATTCAGAAATAAAAATAAATAATATTGGAAGAAGAGCCTAGAGTCTATATAGAAATACAATTTACAGAAAATTTGGAATTAAAAAAATATATTAAAAGATGAGTCTAGAGTCCATATAGGAATATATATATTTTACAAATAACTAAAATTTGATATTAAAAATAATTAATAACTAACACGTATATAAAATACAATATGAATATTACACATTAGTAGTTTCGTAAAGTTATTGCAAAATCTAAAATTATGTTGTCATTTTAATATATTTGGATAATATATTGAGAAAACATATATGCTATTATATGAGAGAAAATATAATGATGCTAGCCGCGCAATCTGCGCGGGACACCATGCTAGTTTCAATAGTAAAACTCAAAACTTTCAAGGTTCTTCACGTATACGAGGTTTTAATTGTACACAAGGTATAAAAATAATTTACCAATATTCAAAACTCAAAACCTCCAAAATTATACGCCTAAGAAAAAAATATTTTTTAGGCTTAAAAATAAAAAGGTGCCATGGTTGTGACATATTGGCAGGTTCAGAGGTGGACTTGGAATATCTAGTAACTTCCTTGCCACTCTTCCATCGGACAGCTGAGATTTATTCTTCAGTTTTTGTCCTTTTATCGATTCTATGGCCATTATTTACTACATGATGTGGCTTTTTCTCTTTGCATCATCAGATTGTCTTTTCACTTGTTAAGATTTGTGAAATTTTCTTGGTATGGTTCCTGTATTTTTCTTATATCAAACTTTTGCAGGAGGGTTCTGGTGCTGGTTGTCCTCTTGGAAATAAGATTCCTGAATTCAATGAATTGGTTCATCAGAATAGATGGCATGAAGCCTTGGATCGGCTACTTGAGACAAACAATTTCCCTGAGTTTACTGGACGAGTTTGTCCTGCTCCTTGTGAGGGTTCGTGCGTACTTGGCATTATAGACAATCCAGTATCCATAAAAAGCATAGAGTGCGCCATCATAGACAAAGGATTTGAAGAGGGATGGATGGTACCACGGCCTCCACTTCGGAGAACAGGGTGTGTGTTCGGCACAACTTTGTACTTGCTTTCTTATATGAGTTGAAGCATGTAACAATAGCTGCACCTAAAGCTACTTCATTTTTTTGCAGAAAGAGAGTTGCTATTGTTGGCAGTGGCCCAGCTGGTCTAGCTGCTGCAGACCAACTGAACAAAATGGGCCATTTCGTGACTGTCTTTGAACGTGCTGACCGTATTGGAGGACTGATGATGTATGGGGTTCCAAATATGAAGGCTGACAAAGAGGGCATTGTTCAGCGACGTGTCGAGTTGATGGCTAAGGAGGGGGTTCAATTCATTGTGAATGCCCATGTTGGAAGTGACCCTTTATACTCCGTTGAAAAGCTCCGCTCTGAGAATGATGCCATTATTTTGGCCTGTGGAGCTACAAAGCCAAAGTGAGTTAATACAAAAACGAAAAAAAGAAGAGTTTGTAACTCTAGTTTACATCTTTCTTGGCACCAGTTTTTAAAGTCTAAGCAACACAGTCTATATCATTCATGCCTTTGAAACTTGGCTAATGTTTAGAGCATTATCCTTGAGCAGAGATCTCCCTATTCCTGGACGGGAGTTGGCAGGCATCCATTTCGCTATGGAATTTCTTCATGCCAATACCAAAAGTTTACTTGACAGCAACTTGGAGGATGGTAACTACATATCAGCCCAAGGGAGAAAGGTGGTTGTCATTGGTGGTGGAGACACAGGCACAGATTGCATTGGGACATCCATTAGGCATGGTTGCACCAACCTTGTAAATCTTGAACTTTTGCCAGAGCCACCAAGAAAGAGGGCACCTGACAACCCCTGGCCCCAGGTTAGTTCCCTCATCATATAAAACAACAGCATCTTTATATTCTTTTTTTAGTGAAAATCTTTGTATGTTTAGAATGTAAGCATTGCGCCACTACGGTTGCCTGAAATTCCACTAACATTACTCTGTTGTGTTTCTACTATTGCCTTCAGTGGCCCAGGATCTTCCGTGTTGATTATGGGCACCAGGAAGCAACTAGCAAGTTTGGAAAAGATCCAAGAAGTTACAAAGTCCTGACGAAGCGATTTATCGGAGATGAGAATGGAAATGTGAAGGCCCTTGAGGTAATACGTGTTGAATGGGGAAAGGTGAACGGAAGGTTCCAATTCAAGGAAGTTGAAGGATCAGAAGAAATTATTGAGGCCGATCTTGTCCTCTTAGCTATGGGATTCCTGGGTCCCGAAGCGGTTAGTTTTCCTCCCTTTCTCTTATGAGTTATGACAAGAATAGCATTACACAATTGTGCACATAGCTATCTGTTTAGAGACCAACCAACACATAGTGCCTAACTGCATATCCTTCTACAGACTGTTGCTAACAAGCTGGGTCTAGAACAAGACATGAGGTCAAACTTCAAAGCTCAATTTGGAAACTTTGCGACCAATGTGGAAGGTGTATTTGCTGCTGGAGACTGCAGACGTGGGCAATCACTGGTTGTTTGGGCCATCACAGAGGGGCGCCAAGCTGCAGCAGCCGTAGACAATTACCTGTCGAAGGATGATGAAGGTGAAACCAATGGCACAGAGGACATTGCTGTCTCAAGTGAAGGTCTGGTCCAACCCGTAGTTGCATAGGCCGAGAGAACATTTCTGCAATTTTGATACAGCATTGATGATGCGAAGATAGTAGGGCCATGCATTTTTTAGCTATAAAAAGGTAAAATAAAGGGCCTGTAAATAATTTACAAGAAAAGGGGGCCCTTTTGTTTATATAAGTATGATAAAAGGGAAATTTTGCGGACGCGTATATTTTTTCCCTGTTTCTTCTTGTGAAGAGATGCAAATCCTGTGATTATAAGAGCAATGTCTGGTTTTTGTTAAATAAATGTGAGGGGATTCTGTTAAAAACATCTATTTATTATGTGTAAGTACATAATGGATCTTCGTGTTTCTCTTCCATCCATGAACCTACCACAATGCTGCTGCATGAATTGTAAATGTTTTTAAAGTTTTTGAAGTGTTGTCATTGAGTAGTTCAAGAATCGATCTGCAGCCATAATTAATCAGTTAAACTTTTTTTCTTAAACAAAAGCAGAAGCTCTGTTTCATTTCATTGATTCGCTTCCTTTATTGAAAAGAAACTCAATCCTCGTGTGACATGTTTGGTTGTTATTAACTGTTTTATAATTGGAGCGAAGTCACGCATTATTAGTCTGACTAGAAGATATTACTGACGACACCTGAGGCAAAAGAAATTCATATTTGATATGCCTTGTTCTAAATTGGCAATGCCGTTATGAAAAAAAAAAGTACAGTCCATTAGTGACTGCGTGCATGACGACCAATAATTATTCTGGATTGAGCAACGAAACACAAAAGAATATATAGAACGGGTAACAAGATTGACCTTGTAAAATGGTGCTGCTTCAATTATGAGATGTATATACCTGTTAGATGTAAACAATTTTATTGAGAATTTCTCTGTAAGAACTTTTTTTAACGAGGACTTTTTTTTTTTGAACAAACTGGCAAGCCGCCAATTTCATTAAATAGAGATGGAGTAAATTGTACAAAACCCAAAAAAAAATGAAAAAAGTTACAAGCTCAGAGCCTTTGGACCGAGCTAACCACATAATGAGCCAGTTGCCAAGGTTCTTCTCACCCACCAAAACACATGTTTTGGCTTCCTCTTTAATCTTGGCTAGGAGGCTGGTTGCCAGGAGCTCCTTTTGTTGGAAGGTCCCGCGAGGCCACTAGCAACAGGAGAGTTTAATTTCAAAGTAATGATATGCACTTGCTAGTGTAATGGTATTGTAGTAGGATGTATTAGTTTAACCATATGATCCCTTTATTTTGGTTCTCAACATGATAATATTTTATTTTTAATTATTTGACAAAAAGATTCCCCCGGTTGCTCAGTCCTTTTAAAAATCAAAGCTATACTGTTGCATACCATATTTGTGGATACACTTTGTACATAGGCCGTGTTTAGATCCAAAGTTTTTCTTCAAACTTTCAACTTTTTAATTACATCAAAACTTTCCTACACACGTAAACTTCCAACTTTTCTGTTACATTGTTCCAATTTCAACCAAACTTCTATTTTCAACGTGAACTAAACACAGGCATACTCGCATTTAGTTTCAAAGTTAAATGTCATTGCACAAAATGTATTTGCGGATACATTCATTATACGTACTACCTCCGTCCTAAAATATAGCAATTTTTAGTTATGAATCTGGATACACAGTTGTCCAGATTTATAACTAAAAATGATTACATTTTGGGACGAAGGAAGTACATACTCGCTGCAGTATGCTTGGAAAAATATTTTTACTATTGCAACTTATACGAGCCAAAGACCGTTGACAAGCTAGTCAACAGTCATTAGCGTACCTGACCGGCTGACTAGTCCATCGATCGAGGTTACACGCATGACGTACATAATAGGCTACTATCAGAATTCTTTTTTAGTGCAAAAATTTGCCTAATTTTAGTCTATAATTTGATACCCCATCACTTACGCTCGCTTCTCCTACTGAACAAGTCAAGCTCTCCTCTTCACCGCTATATAACGCACACTTTCTCCAATTCTCCATCCAGGTGCCACTCAAAGCTCACACATCGCCATTGATTCTCCACTCGAAGCTTAGCTACACAGAGAGAAGCATCTAGTAGTAGTCGCATGGGCAACAGCTTGCAGCTGCCATGTCCGTGCCAGGAGGCCACGGCGGTGGCCACCTCGGGAGTCAAGAAGAGGAGGAAGAAGTCGCCGGCCACCGCCGCTGTCAGGAGCAGCAAGGCGGCGGCGGCGGCGTCGTCGAGGCACGTGGTTCCGGTGATAGACACGCCGGGGGAGGAGGAGGAGATGAGGATGGCGTGGCCGGGGTGCCACGTGGAGCCGGCCGTCGACGGCGGCGACGGCATGCGGGTGAAGGTGGTGATGAAGAGGAAGGACGCGGCGGAGCTGATGGCGAGGCTGGAGGAGCGGTGCGCTGTCGAGAGGAAGGCCAAGATGGTGGAGCTCAACGCCGGGCTCCGCGGCGGCCACGGCCACGGTCACGGCGGCGGTGGCGCCAGGGACGCGTGGGCGCCGCGGCTCGTGGCCATACCGGAGAACTAGCAAATTAAGCAAGAACTGCAACTGCGAAAAAATTCTGCATGCACAGTACAGTAGCTGTAACATTTTTGGAGCCCTGATAAAATTACATATAGCTCGAGTACATTAGCTAGCAAGTTTTTAATTAGTGACATGGTGAATTGAATTGGTGATTTCTACTCTCTTTGTTTTTTTTTCCTTCTCTTGATTCCTCTTGGCTTCTTGAGAAGACGAACTCTGTCGGCTCCGCCATGGCGCAGCAGTGTATGCAGAGAGTTATCAATTGTGCAACTTATGATGAGCATGATATGTTCATATCCATGTGTAAATAATCCCCTTGTTTTATAAGATGCATCCTTGCTTGATAAAGAACAGGTTTTTATTTCTTGTCACGCTATTTTAGCAAGCAAGAGGAGATTGATTCATATGTTGCAGACTTGCAGTTGTAGCACATCAACTCTTTGTGAATTCTCTAAAAACAACCTTTTGAATTGAAATCGAAATTCGATCGGCTGATCTGGATGTTGCTGCCTACCAGCTTCCTTCTACCAAACTTGTCCTCGACATTGACATATTTGTTGTGATCGGAATATTCAGACGGAGTGTTGTCGATCGAGGTGAGACGTTACACAGCTTAGCTGTCACTCATCAGCAAAACAGTGTTGATTACCTTCGTCACACTGCCATGAATCATGATGGGTGAAGCTATTGATGCCAACGGATAATACTCTAAAACTCATGTTGGCATATTGTGGTTAGGCAACATTGACCTCTTCATAATTCAAAGCAAGCAAAAGCTAGCTCTATCATGGGCAAGCTGGGCAGTATCTTCTGAATCCATGACATTTCAGACTTCAGAGTTCAGAGGATCGAGGTAGCTAGTCAGCATGACCAGTTCAAGCATCAGCTATCTTTGTTCTATCTGAGAAGCCTGTGATTACCATTAGGTATTGTTATCTGCACACACGTAAGCGTTGAAAAAAAAAATTCACAGTAGTTAGTCTGGTCGTAACACTGACGCTAGCTGTATGAGAAACTTAATCGAGTGATAATTTACTAGTGTATATTTTTATTCTGTTCACACAGTAACTTTGTCTGAACAAGAACGTTAATCTGTTTTCTTTTATCCCCCTGTGGTCGTTGTCATGACTGCAATAAAAATACGTACAGAAGTAGAGAAATTTGCGAGCAAATGATTTGCCTCTGAAAGTCTGAATCGAAGCTAATCTTTGTCCAAGTCAGCAATAGGTATTATAGGTATTAGTCCACATCATTTTATTTTTTTATCTGTTATTTTTTACACCCAGAGTCTGATTATTTATGTCACAGCTACGCCATCAAAGCATAAGAAAACCAAACATCTCAATCTGCCGAGACCTACACTTGCAAAGTCTCGTCAACACACATGCGAGCTCGACATCAACACACCACCATCCAGACAATGAACAGAAGCGTCAACACGTACGCAGTGCGTAATTCCATACTACAATATCACGTATATACTCTCTCAGTCTTCAAATACTACTTTAAAATTATTTTTTCATGCATAATAATTCAATATTATTCAATAGTGTAAAGCATATATTGATTTTTTTTGTTTTCAGAAAAATTATGTCATGTTTTTTTAATATTCTGCAGATGAAATTTTATATCACATAATTGAAGCCGTCGAAAAAAACTGAGATGGTTATAAAGAGATTATTCAGCCCAATCATGAACGACATATTTGCAAACAAAAAATAATCTGTGAAACTTTTATATATGTGTTCTTAGTGATTTAAAAGCAAAGGATGGAAAATAAACCTTAATGACAAAACCCTAAAATTAACTCTAAATTTAAAATTTGGCTGATAAACATAAGAAAAAGATGAGGCTCTATGTTAACAGGCCCATTTTCCCTCGCAAAAAAAGGACTATAGGTCCACTTTGTTTGTAGGCCCATATATTAGATGGGCCTTTCATCTTGGGCCTTCTCCGACGGGGATCTCGATGCACATCCGCCGTCCATCTAGACGCAATCTCGGCCGTCCAATCTACCACAAGAAACTTTTAAAACCCCACATGCCCTAGGGCTCATCTCATCTCATTCCCCTGCGCCGTCACTTCCCCTCCTCCTCGGTTCCCGCCGCCGCCGCCATCGCCATCTCCACCCTCCTCGGCGGCCGCCGGCGACGATGAAGGGACGGCAAGGCCAGCGCGTGAGGCTGTACGTCCGCGGCACCATCCTCGGCTACAAGAGGTGACCGCTCGCTCTCACCCCCCCCCCCCTGCGTGGCGGGGTATCTGCCTTCTCCGTCATCGCCGCGGTGGAGTGGTGTTGATCTTGGTTTGGCGTTGATTTTCACGCGTAGGTCGAAGTCGAACCAGTACGAGAACACGTCGCTGCTGCAGATCGAGGGGGTGAACACCAAGGAGGAGGTTGGGTGGTACGCCGGGAAGCGCATCGCCTACGTCTACAAGGCCAAGACGAAGAGCAACGACTCCACCATCCGCTGCATCTGGGGCAAGGTCACCCGCCCGCACGGCAACTCCGGCGTCGTCCGCGCCAAGTTCCGGTCCAACCTCCCGCCCACCTCCATGGTAAATCTCGCTCTCTCCGTCGTCCGCGCTATCCATTGATCCCTTCCTGTTTTGGTCCAGTCGTATGTAGTTTCGTTGTCCATTTCTGATGTTTTATGCTGGATTGTTTTGGTGGTGCAGGGCAAGAAGGTCCGCGTCTTCATGTACCCTAGCAGCATCTAAGGTAGAGTGCTGTACTTAGTTCCAATTGTTTCAAGCTTTTACAATGTGGTGATGTATTATTGACTATTGCTTCTGGTTATGTTTATTGTTCATTGAATCATCGAGCTCGTGGGGTTGGTCAGAATCTTGTGCAATTGTTCCCTGGATTCTGTATTTGTGACAGTTGTTGCCTGATTAGATGGAATGGTGCATTGTTAGGTTTTGGTGTGAGTGATCATTATGTTTGTGTCTAAGGGCTCCATGCCAATGGGGGAAGCTCTTTTGCTAGCTTCGAAATACCTGCAGGTTCTCTGCGGGGTGCTCGGAAGTTGGGGCCCTAGATAAAATTCAGCGGTCTCATAGTACGAGGCTATGCTTTGGTTGATGGGTCTCTCATCAACCTGTTCCTCACAGCCTTGCCTCCAATGACCTCAATATCTGTTAATCTAATATGTCAGTTTCCTACTGTTAACTAGTATTCATGCGAGCCCGAGTGACATAGTGATCTCGAGGGTTGTAAACTAATGTGTTACACTATATGCTTTGCCGTTTAATTGATCTAGGTGTCCTTCATACTTTGTCCTTGTTTAGGGGTCCCAATCCAGTTTAGGATGATAGCCCCATCCTGACTAAAAAGGAATTGGGGTGGCAGGAGGAATTGCCTGAGATCCCTGAGATCGGTTTGCTCTGGATTTTTTACCTGATGATGGATCAAATCCCTTATTATGCATAAATGTAGAAATTGGTGAGTCTTAGCATTGGAAGTTGAAAACGTTAATGACTATTTATTGGCGGCTATCTGCATTATCTGATCCAGTGGTGTCCTGGTTGACTAGTGGAACACAACTTGGAACACAACCATCTCTCGGTATTGTGGTATGATAGAAACCTACCGTGTGGGATTTCTTCATAATTTTGTGACTTTGTGTTGATAGTTGATAATGTCTTCAGAGCATAATGCAGTCCGTTTGGTATAATATATTTTGCTATCATTGTGTTTTTTTTTTTGTGCTTATCTCCCTTTTGCATAACAAGTCAAAAGTTTGAAAACTAACAGTAATTTCACTTTTAACTGAAACAGGTTTCTTGCCTATTCTGCAAAACTGGTAGTTGGCATCGTGGAGGTTTTATATCAGCTAGTCACTTGGTTTACCGGCCAGAGAAATTTAAGCGATTTTGAGGAGTTTAGCTTTTGTTTTACTGCACAGACTATCTGGTTGCATCTTGTACAACGCATGCCAATCACTCATTTGCGTTGAAATGATATTTCCATGCGGTGTTAACTCTTTATCTGTAATTTCTGTCTGATTGTCATGGTGACTGTCAAATGCAACCTTCTATAGCTTTCCATGAACCAGATGCCCTTTGATCTATACAAACATAACATCGCTATTGTGAACCAAATCATCGTATCAAAAGTTCAAAACTGTTGGCTTGCAGTATTTTAGGATAGTGATCTTGCGACTGCTAAAGTGTTGTTTTTTACTACGTAGCAACATTTTGTGGTGGAGGTAGTAGTTGGCTTCCATTATCTGATTCGTGATACCTTGCGTGTAAAATGGGAACTACAGGGATCTCATTCGATTGGATGACTTTGTACTGGACTTCTGTGTCGTGCGTCAAGTGAACTGCGTGTGGTGTAGTGTGCCAATATTCTTTGCGACCTCCCAGTCAATCCTACTAGTTAGTATACTTAAAATAAGAAGCAAGTATATTTGAATTTAAATGTAGTATACTTCAAACAAGAAGAGTCGTGTTCACAGTACTAGTATATTAGAATTTAAATTTGCTAATTGAAAACACTATCCCACATCAAATTTTTCGGCACCGCTGCATCGCGACGAGATCAAATCTACAGGAAACCGCGCGAGATCAACCGGCTTTTCAACTCTTCCGAAATGCCGGAGCAGCCGTGCCTAGCGCCGCGCCACCGCGGAATCGCCGGCGCGGATGCGTGAATCCTCTCACCTGCGAGGCTGCGACTGCGACGCTACACACACTGACGTCTCGGTCTCAAAAAAAAGTAGTTGTTACACTCCTCCCGGCATTCGAGTCCCAGACGAATCCGACGCCGAGATAAGTGACGGGGGAGATGGAGATTGGTCGTCTCGTGCGGAAGCAGACGCAGCCAGGCTGGGCACCAACCACCCGAGGAGGAGGAAGACGACGACCACTCGCTCTCGCGCTCGGGCGGCTCTCGTCCCGTCGTCCGGTGCGGTGCCGCTGCCTCGCCGCCATGCAGACTTCGCCGCCGCCGCCGTCCGTGCGCACGGTCTCCATCCCCTTCTCCGACCTCAAGGTAAGAGAGGAACCCGCTGCATAGCGTCGTATGGTTCTTGATTCCATCAGAGTTGCGACGCCGTTTTCTCTGCTGCTGATGCAGGAGAGGGATAGGGACCTGAGCGGGAAGATCGAGGAAGGGCTCGGGCCCAACGGGCTCGGGATCATCTCCATTGCTGACGTGAGTGTGACGCGTTGAAAACTGATGCGCGCTGCGTTCCTGGCCTGCAGAGAAAATTTCGAGTTCCTGAACTGAATTTTGTAGCCGTCTTTTTGCAGGTGCCTGGTTTTCCCGTGCTAAGGAAAACGTTGCTGCGCCTGGCACCAAAGTATGTTCTTCTCTTAGTCTCATCTTTGTGTTGTTCATAGGAGGCACATTTCAGTTTCAACATTTGCTTGATATTTGTAGTGAAATCTCTTGTTGCTTGCTTCCATTTTTTTTTAGATTTGCAAACCTTCCTGAAGATGTGAAGAAAGAACTTGAAGACCCAGACAGCAGGTGAAAACAGAACTGCATGGTGGTGCCATTTGGTTCTGTACTTATGTTCTTAATCACGAATTTGATGTAGCCTATTATGTCCTCCAATTGGGAGCTCCTAGTTAGGATCAACACCTGAATTGTACTTCAACTTCTATCCATTTTGACAGTCTAGAGTGAGTACACAGCAATGATGAGTTTGCTCCTTTGCCTCTTAGGTTTAACTTTGGATGGAGTCATGGGAAAGAGAAACTTGAGTCAGGGAAACTCGGTAAGCACTTTTGCACTTTTATCTAATTATACATCTTACCATATGTGAGATATTGCACTTTATTGAAAAGATCTGTATCACAGACACATTCAAAGGCTCCTTTTATGCCAACCCAATTTTGGATGCTCCAACCACTGATGATGTACTTGTGAGAAGGTTCGTTTTTTCATACATAAATAATTTAACTCAGTTTACTGTTACAATTTAGCACTGGAGAAAACTGAACAATTTGGCAACCTTTATTATTCTAACTCCAACGAATTTAGTATGATTTGAGTTAATTAAAGTTTAATTATCTTACTATGGTCGATCATTTGTATCACTCAAAATGACCTATTGTATTGCTAGTGCAAAAGAGTTGTATCATATACTCATAAAGACCAAATATGACCCTTATTATAGGTGTTTTTAATGTAATATTGAACCAGCAGGTACCCATCTTATTGCCGAACAAATATATGGCCAGCCAGTCATCTTCCTGAGCTCGAAATAGGTATGACTGACTGACCATATGTATGTATATTGACTGACTTGAGGGCTATTTCTCAGTATAACAGTACATATTTGTTACCTTTTATCACTATTTTAATAACCCATTCCTACTTATTTTAGCCATTAAAATGGAGGACTTGCCATAGGCCCATAGCACATGTTTATATGTTATAAGTCAGGATATCTGTATTGAATAAATGTACCAAAGGTTGTACTCCATTTACCTTACTGGCTGTCTTGTATCTCAAGGTGCTAAATGTAAGATACTGAATGGTTAATGTTCATTTTCAGTGCCTCATGATCATTACATGCTGAAATATATTTTTAAGTGGTTTTGATTTTTGTAGAACTTATTATGTATTTCCATGCTAGAATCCAACCATTTTTACAACATTTCTTTCATTTGTAGCATTTAAAGCTCTTGGAAAGCTGATGTTGGAAGTTGGCTTGATGTTGGCTCATCATTGTGATCGCTATGGTATGTACTATATAATTCTATAGGCTTACCTGATATTTCCTTTAAAAATGTCCAGGGACAAACCACATCTGTTTGGCTAAGTAAAAAATCTCCACAATTTAACCTTTGGATTGATTATAATTGTCAACTCTGTACTTTGGTCTTTAAGTTTGGTATTCCATTGGTGAATTGGACCAACTTCTGTTTGTTTGTCAGTAATGCAGCAAGGAGTGGGACCATATGATGGTGAAAGCCTTGAGCAGACAATTGCCAGCTCAAGGTGTCACAAGGGCCGCCTTCTGTATTACTACCCCCGGCAATTTAGGTAAATATGATGTATACACAGTATTTCTGACAAGAAAAAACATGCATGAATTGCATCTCTAGGCAGTGATTCCTTTATGACCTTCTTGTATTTTGGAGTTAATAAGACTTAGGAATGGATAAACAAGATCAATGTCACGCGATTCCACTAAACAGCAAGATGGTGCCTATCAAGTATTACACACCATTGACACGCGATATCATCGCGCATATTATAAGGCATTTTACATGTGTTGTCCATGTAGATCAAAGCTTTCTAACTTTTCTTACCTTTGTAACAATCAATATATTTTTTTTGGATTCAAGATTTTTCAATGTTCTAGCCTTTTAGTTGTAAGGATTGATGCTTGCATGTCTCTTATTTCAGTAAACAAGAGGAAGGTGGTTCTGTTTCATCGTGGTGTGGATGGCATACTGACCATGGATCTTTAACAGGTAATACATGTTATCCCTATGGTTGAATATTATCAGTTGCACGATAACTCCTGAACATGAAAGTTTGTTGTGGTCAAATGAGCATGTGGTGAAATTCTGAACCCATAACCTTACTGTATTATACATATATTGATAACCATAAATCTGATCTCCGTTTTGTTTCCTACTACTATCATCTATGAGGCTTTAGCGTTTAAAAAACGTTTGTTTTAATTTATATATTTTTTTCAATTCTGATTATGCATCCTACATGCAGGACTTACATGTGCCTTGTTTACGAAAAATTCAATGGAGATCCCCTGTCCTGATAGTGCTGCTGGATTGTATATAAGGACTCGTGATGATAAAGTTGTTAAGGTAATTTCCTGTTAATCACTATAGACTTATCATCAAGATGATGCTTTGTAATTTAGGTTGTACGCAGTCATCTCTACATTGAAATTGATCGGTGCTTGCAGATTTGGAAATGTAGCCAGGCATTTGAAACAATGTTTAATCATTGTTAGTTGAATAATTGCCTGTGAATTGCATTAGCATATTATACAGGAGAGGGTTATGTGGTCTGCACTAATTGAAATTTTACTGCATAAGGTTACATTTGAGGAGAATGAATTGGCTTACCAAGTTGGAGAAACCACTGAAATACTATCAAGAGGTCGTCTATGTGCAACTCCACACTGTGTGAAGGTATTGTACTATAAATTTGTAGTCATGGGTAATCAGTGTTCCTAGTTCCTGCAGTTGTAAAGTAATTTATACTTTTACTGTTGTCTCTAGGCCCCCAGCAGTGAAAACGCCTCGAATGTTGATCGTTCGACCTTCGCGATGTTCATGCAACCAGATTGGTATGTGCAGTTTTCTTGACCAAATTGTAGTGTTCACATATTCTCTCACATGGAGAACTTTTGAGTTTCCTGCCCCTCATCCTACTAGTGACTTGCCACTTGCCAAAGCTCCCAACCAATTTCAACACATAATGTTAGCCCACATGAAGAGTACTGGTTTTCCCTCATCATTATGTGTTATGTGGGTTTGTTCATTTATACGGTCAATACTCAATAATCAATAGTAATATGCTTGCCGTTACGAATTCGGCACGTAGATTTTCAAAGCCTAGGTCTGATTAATGTGGGTTTGCTGACATTTTCTTTTTATTGTGAAATATTTTGTAGGGATGAAAAGCTCAAGTTTCCAAGTGAAATTCCGTATCATCAAGAGGTTTGTTCCTAATCAGAAACTTGCATTCAGTGCTCCTGCGTGCCTTTTTCTGATATAGTAATCTATGTTTTAACTTCTGGCAGTTGATCCCACCGAATGGAACTCTTACATTCGGGGAGTATTCAGAAAGATTGGTGAACAAGTATTACCAGGGAAAGACATGAAACACTACAATACGCATGCAATTTTCAATTGTTGTTTGTCCGTTTCGTACTAGCAGTGAAATCGTCAGTGCAACCTGGACAAACTTAACTGTTAGGTTCTCTGCGTGTGTTTTGAACTGGAGATTCGAGCAACCAATCATAGAAAAAATGTGTCTACTGTAATTGTTTTTTCCTTACGATAAAAGCAACAACACCGGTGGCAGCGTCACCTTTTCTTGGTTCAGTTTCCACTACACTCATCTTCACCATACTTGATTGAGTTTCCTCTGTAGTATGGGGGTGCTTAGATCTATGAGTGTAAAGTTTTGGTGTCACATCGGATAAGTTTGGGTGTGTCACATCGGATATACGGACACACATTTAATGTATTAAACATAGACTAATAACAAAACAAATTACATATTTCATTTGCACACTGCGAGACAAATTTACACACAATGTCATTAGCACCACGTTATCAAATCATGGAGCAATTAGGCTTAAAAGATTCGTCTCGCAATTTACACAATGTATACAATTAGTTATTTTTTTCATTTATATTTAATCCTCCATGCTATGTTAGAACTCTGAAAACTCGGATAAACATCTACATGGACTAAAGACACATACAAATAATACAAATTAAACAAGCTGAAAATAAAGGGAGCGAAAGAATGGACTAGTAACAAATTGAAGACGATATATGTAAACGGAACGAAAGAATGGGCTGTGACAAAAATTAAACACGATATATGAACTTGGTCGTAATACAAAAAGTACAGCAGCCTGGTGTCTCCTAGATCCTCAAGCACAAGGAACAAAAGCACAAACCAAATGACACCTCACAGCTGCGTTGATCTATGAATGACCTAGAACGGGGTAAAATCAGCTATATATGCCCCAAGATAGGGGAGGATCACCAACTGGGAGTAAAGGAGAAACATGAGTATGATAAGTAGATGATCAGGACTATTTGGACCATGCAACCGCATCAATTTCTGCTTGAGCACTCCGATATAGCTCCAGCCTCTTCGCAAGATTAGTCCTCCGTTCCATGACGGCGGGGTCTTCATCAAGAAGCTTAGAAAGTTGTTTAATCTGCATAACATTTAAAAGGCAGTATTACTAGTTAGATCAATTCTGTTGGACTTTAAAAGGCACACCAAAAAAAATGTAAAACAGGGCCCAAAAACTTATGTTATGCTTTATTAAGCTTTAAGAAAGAAGAACTCACCTCTCTTGCTCCCAATTCAGTAAAGAAGTGATCGAGCAGTGAGCGCTTTGCCTCCCGCACTTGACAGTAGACAATAGATTTCGGAATAGAGTTCCTCAAGGTTGAACATACCATGTTAATATATGCCAGAACCGTTGTTCCTGTTGAGTATGAATTGTAGCAAGGTTCAGCAGAAAATACAGGTAAAATAAGTTAAAAGGCAGCCAAGCAAAGCCTTGATGGCATGTATATTCATCATTAAACTAAATTAGTGGGCAATATTACACAAGGTTGCAACAATATGATAAACCACTTCTCAACTTCAACAAATGGCCATCATTGCAAAGCAGTAACAGTATACATTGAATATATACAAGGAAGAATGGTTGATGACTTACCAATTCGTCTAAGATAAGAATCATTATATCTATCAAAAATAGAGTGGCTTGGATTTCCACCCTTCTCAACATCCTGGGGAAGTTTCCTGAAGAAATCTACGGTTAAGTAGCTGCATTCCATATCAACAAGCTTTAATGTGTTTTTCTTGCTTTCATCCCTCATTCTGTCCAATGACTCAAAAGCCGCATTGCCTACTTCCACACGAAGAGTGGGGAACTGCTTCAGCTCCTGCAGAGAACTCACTCACATCTTTTAGGACGCTTACACAATTACAAGTGGAGTAATGACAATTTGACAAGCATGCAAATTAATTATCATGCTGCTTCTCATCTTAAGTCGAGCAAAAAAGTTCCAGGTTCAGATTTTATTAGAAAGACAAAATATTGAAACAACAGAAGGCAAAAATTTCAACAGTATTAATTGATTACCTCCTAAACTCCTAGTACAATCAGTATACCTCATGTACCATCAGAATGCACATATTCCCCAGTATAAGTTACAGAAAACATTGTGCAACAGTGCGAAGACTTACATGTGTTTCATTGATGGCCTTGTGCACTAATTCCTTGAGTATCGCATGGACCTGTCAGTACAACAAACATACGATAATGTTGTAGTGCACATTCTTCAACAATATATGACACGAAAAGTTAGAAACGCTCAAGCTATTTTGTTAAGACTAAAAAATAGATCAAATTAATAGATAGCATACCGCATCCACAGCTGCCTCAGCAGGACCTCTGATACTAACAAGACAAGACTCTATGAGCCGTCGATATCCTTGCTCTGGAGCTATTAAATGAGGTTGGTATCCATCAGCCTCCGTTATGAGCTTTTTCACATTTTCCATTGCCAGTTGTTTGTCAAACTGCAACCGTTTAATGGCTACAGGAAACTGATTGTCAAAGACATGATAGATTTTCTCACCACCAGGACGCCTGGACATTAGAATTTTTGTGGGTAAGCATCAGGGAAAGCAACATTCAATTCACAAAAGAACAAGCACACAAGGGAGAATGATGCTAATTGCATATAACAATCTACAAGTTAAATTGTGTTAAATTGCATACTTCAGCAGCAAGAAAATATGCAAATCTTTATTAGCAATAACTTTGTAAGTGCTATCATGTAATTAGGTTTTAGGGTTAAATTCGACGATCCCTTTCTTCTGAAAGAAAAACAACTGGAGATTCTAGGTGCATGTACGCCCAAGCAAGCTTATTGAAATCTTTATTACATTTGATAGAAATTTATTGTTTAAAAATACAAGACAAATTAACAGGTTACTTTGCCAAGAACCTAAAATAGGCTGTATGCTTACGTTGGAGTAAACACACAAGACTAACACCAAAGGAGAGCTTATCAAATTAGGGCCACACAAATTTTAGAAGGCTTATACAGATCAGAGAGGGGAAAATGTTATTTTAGGATAAAATGTTATTTTATCTCGGAATTCAGGAAGCACACACGTAGCTACAATAAAACTTCTAAGAGAACATTTAGCAACAGAAACATTAAGTTTGAAACATACACTCCATCCAGATGTTCTTTGTAGATACCATCAAACATGCGGCATATTTCCATGATCGTGTACAGCTTTCCCTGCATGGCCAAATATGTACAAACCAATTATGTCCATTAGCACAATGATCAAGAACATACACAAAAAAAATGGGCACTACATTAGCAATTAGCATAAAAAGGGGATGCAGAATTAGGCTCAATAAACCAGTATCTAATTAAAGAATAAAAAAGCCCTAATCTTACTCCAGCATCTGTAGCAATGGGCTTCCCAAGTCGATTAAGTTCTGTCTCCAGTTCGGCAATTGTCTTTGTAATGAGAGATTGGAGCCCTGGGATTCTTGACTTAATAACAGTCTCCAAATGCTACATATACACCAAAACATTTAAGAGTCAATATACCAAACAGAGTTACAGGTATTCTACATTAGAAACGAAATGAAAGGCATACCTTCGAGAGACTCTTTGCTAAATGTTCTGATCCCATCCTATGAGCAAGGTGCTTGTATTCTGGCGTAGTTGAAAAATATTCACGCTCTCTGCGCCTAGCAGCAATCATGTCCACATTCTTGTTGATATCCTGCTGAGATCGATTGACGACACCAATCCATTGTTGTTGGAGCCGGTATGATCTGCCTTCCAATATCTGCAGAAAAGAACCGTAAGAAAATACAGCTCAAAGAACAAACATAACCTTCATTTTCTACAACTGTATATCTTCCAACAGATAGAACAGAAGAATATTCAACATAGGAGATTTAAAAGGTCCCAAAAGCAAGGGAACAATAATCCATGTTGACATCTCCGGGGACAAAATGTATCGATAATAAAGTTTTTAGCAATTAATTTTAGCTGGGAAAAAACTTACATCAACAGCATCGGTGCCCTTGTCCATTAGATCAATTTTTGTAAGCACACCAAACGTCCTTTCACCTGAACATTACAAGACAAACCACATCTCAAAAAACATGATTGCCATCCTTTATCCAAATGGCTTACAACAAAGGCATACCTTTGGGGTCAACTTCCCGTGAAATCTTAATTGCATCAGAAGTTGCAAGATCCTGATTGGCTGGAGAAACAGCCAGAATGATACAATTGGGCTGAAACAAACCAAAAAGGGTCGATATACATATAAGCTTTTGCAACATTACAGACATGATACATGACAAGATAAGCATAGCTCACACACTACAAGCATAATGCATGATACAAAAAACATATTCCAAATATGCTAACACATGGCTGAAATCATAAGAATGTCGAAACAAATATGCATAGAATAAATTACTGTATATGTGCATACAAAGCTATGGTACCGAAATAAGGCAAGCATAGTCAGCAATGGCAGTGGACAAATATTAAAAGGTTACAGCAAAAAATATACCTTTTCTATGAACGAGCGAACCATGTTTTCAATGTCCTGAACAATACTGTCAGGCTGACCCTCTGGAAAGCATATAGCAAGTGGTAAATCAGGAAATGGACCTCTTTAAAAAGAACAAACAAAAGAAAATAGCTCACAAATGACAATGGGTAATACTGACCAACAGCAACTTTAGTAAGCCCAGGAAGATCGATAAGAGTCAGGTTCACAACTGCAAAAGAGTGGGAGTTAAGACGCTAACAAAAATAGATACTAGAAACCAGATAAATCATAAACAGGCATGCACATATAAAGACAAATAAGGTATGGTCATCTTATCAATGACAGAGATCTCACTAAGTAAGCAACAGACAAAAGGAACAGCTTTTAAGCCACATATCCATCTCAGCAAACAATAATCAAAATGAACCAATTTGACTGTGATAAAGCAACTACATCGAACTGACATTTTATATTATTGTTATCTTACCATTTGGAGAATATATGCTTAAATGAATAGGGACCGATGATATTTGCTTTGAACGACCAGTTTCTCTGTCAGTTTCATCAGCTATCTCCTTCCTCACAAGAGCTGCAAGAATACGACTATCATCATTAACCATCATGCAGTTGAATATATGTTTAGCACTTGAAAGACTGTTTCCACCAACAATTACAGGTGTAATCATATATGTTTGACTATCATCCAACATTGGCAATCTAGTTCAGTTTGAATATATGATCTCCATAAACATGCAATCTCGCAATTTTAATCACAGAATGATATGACCAAAAATGAAGGAAAAGGTAGATGGAGTACCGAAATCAGTGAATCTCTTCCTGGGAAGGTGCATGAACTCTGCATATTCTCTGTCTCCGTCGATCCTATGAAGCTGCAGCACCAAGGGACGACGGGTGACAATGCCTGGAAACCAAATCCAAAAATTCCAAATCAGATAAAACAGGAGCAATAACACTGAATTATACAAGCACTTGCTATTGGAACCGCCATACCTGAGCCTCTTGGTAGGAAATCCTTCCCAACAACGCTCTCCAGCACCGAGGATTTACCCGAACTCTATCAAACGTATCAGGAAAGTTCAAACGTCAGGTTACCGAAGTACACCCATTCTGGTACAGAAATAAGCTTAAACCATTTCTAACAGGCGCAACTCCGCACAAAATTCCATCGAGCTGGATGGTTCCATCAACTAGTTTAGTAGCTTCAGTTGCTACAAAACCTATCGATTTCATGTAAGCGTCCAAATCTAGTCTTCGGCGAGCACAGCAATCGTAGATCCAATCGTAGCTAGACCGCATCGGCTACTAATCCTTTCTGCCCTACCAGCAACTCGCGAGATCCAGATCGACGCAGCTGAGGCGCGAGGGGCCAGATCCGAGCGAGATAAAAACGGGTAGGGGGGAAACGACGGGAACCTGGCCTCCGACGACGGCGATGGCCGGCAGCGAGTCCCAGAGGGTGGGGAGGGCGCTCTCCTCGCCGTGGTCGCCGAGGGCGGTGCAGGCCCGCTGCAGCTTGTTGACGAGCGAGATCAGGTTCTCCATGGCCGCTGCTGCTGCGGCGGCGGCGGCGGCTCAGCGAGATCTGGGCGAGATCGCGCGCGTGGGGGGAGGGGCGAGATCGAGGTCGGTGGAGAGGAGGGGGGGAGATGAGGGTTGGCGATGCCGACTGCCGAGCCGCGTCGGGGTCGAGAGCTGCGCGGCCTCGGGCTGTGTATGGTGGTGCGCCGCGACGGTTTGGTGATTTGGACTTTGGAAAAAGGCTTCGTGGGGAAGAAACGGGCTGGATTTTTCACATTTTGATCCTTTTAAAAAACTTATTTCGCAAATAGACCCCTTAAAAAACTTATCCCAGAAATGGTCCTTTTTTGGGCGCCAGAGTGGCTGGCGCCGTCATCCAACGGAACGGCGCCAGCCTCTCTGGCGCCGTCCTCCTGCCACCGTGGCGCACGCGAACCGACGTGGCAGGATGAGGGCGCCAGGCTGGTGCCGCCCCAGGGAGGAGGGCGCCAGCATGGCTGGCGCCGCCGCCTCCATTCCTGTTTCTCTGTATAGAGTTGCAACGGTGTCATTTTTATTTTATTTTTTCGGATGTTTTTTCACACTCAGGATCACGATACAACCAACCACAAAAAAAATTTAAACTCGAACTACCACTTAGCTAAGTCTGAAAATATCTAGCATACCACTTAGTCTACTTTGCACCTTCACTAAAATTAGACCATAACTCCTTTAGTAAAACCCTTTGATCAGCATGTTAAACATAATGCACTCTACCACTATATGAAATTACTTAATCTAATTCAAAATATAACCACATGAAATGACATATATAAATTAAACAGTACATAGAGATGTAATTTTTTTATTTTTATTTCATTTTTTTGATATTTTTTTCACACTTAGGAGAACATAGGAACCAACCGTATAAAAAATAAACTCAAACGGACAAAATATGTGACATGTAGAATTTTCCAAAACTCTACCGAAACGGACAAAATATGCCATCTATTAAAATAGGCATAACTTTCTCATACGGACTCGGAATCAGGCAAATAATATATGCACGGACATCTACAGAAAAAGTTACATCCGATTCTCTCCCGCTTTGCCGGGTTCGGCGATATTAAAACCTCCAAATTCCGCTTGCAAGATTGTGTTTTCGAGGAGAGAAGTTTTTCGGTGGAGCTTTGGAAAATTCCACATGCCACATATTTCGTCCGTTTGAGTTTATTTTTTACGTGGTTGGTTCCTGTGAGTTCCTAAGTGTGAAAAAAATATCAAAAAAATAAAATAAAAATAAAAAAGTTGCACATCTCTCCTCTGCACTAGTTCGGAGAGAGGAAAGGAGAGGAAAAATTCTACATGTCACATATTACGTCCATTTGAGTTCAATTTTTGTATGGTTGGTTCATGTGTGTCCCTAAGCGTGAAAAAAATATCAAACAAATAAAACAAAAATAAAAAATTTCGGGGGGGGGGGCGCCAGCCACTCTGGCGCACTCCCCCTAGCCACCTCAGCATCGCCCCGCCACGTCGGCGGTGGGACGGCGCCAAAGAGGCTGGCGCCGTCCTGTTAAACGACGGCGCCAGCCACTCTGGCGCCCCAAAAAGGACCATTTTTGGGATAAGTTTTTCTAGGGATCTACTTGCGAAATAAGTTTTTTAAAAGGACCAAAATGTGAAAAATCCAGAAGAAACGGGCCAGTTTGAGCGTGTGGAAGATGGAGGGCCAGTTTGGTAATTTCGAATGATCCTTTTTGTATCTTACACTTCTTACACCCGGGCCCTTGCTTGGTGTAGTGTAATGTCCTAAAATTTGAACTTGAAATACATGCGCGCTACCTGCATCAGTTTTTAGTAAAATTTATCCAAATACCATCGGTTATCAAGCGATAAGTGATTATCCATGATACCGCTATAGAACCGGTCAACAATTTTTAATGATAATCATGTCTTTATATCTTACACTCCATTGCTTGCTTTTTATAATAACTTATAAGCCGTTGTAAAAAAATAAATTCAAAAACTTAATTTTGAAATTAATTTTAGGTTTTTATTATAATTTATTGTCCAGTAATTTTAAAAAATCATGTTAAAAACAGATATATAAAGATTTTATCTGTTGATCGCTGCAAACGAAACGATCATGCTTCTCGTAATAACCAAAAACCAAAGGGGGTAACTGCGTAATCACAGGTTTCACCATGGGTTTGATTTCGAATTGGTAGCTGCACAGGATGGCAAAGCGCAGCATAGCACCAGAACTAACGGGCAGGGACCAGACGTCCAGACCATCCGGCGAACGACGAGCTAGCTACCGTAGTCGGTGGGCTCTCCTCTCACGGCGGCACAAATATTTCGCTCGTGTTTTGGGGGGCAAAAGGACATTTGGCTGTTTTGCAACCCCATATTACCAACTCATCTTCCTCGTTTTCCTCGCGCACGTTTTTTAAACTACTAAACGGTGTGTTTTTTACAAAAATTTTCTATACGAAAGTTACTTAAAAAATCAAATTAATCCTTTTTTTAAAAAAAATAGCTAATACTTAATTAATTACTCCCTCCGTCCCAAAAAAAGACAAACCCTGGTTTCCGTGCCCAATATTTGACCATCCGTCTTATTTGAAAAAAATATGGAAAAAATTAAAAAGATAAGTCACGCATAAAATATTAATCATGTTTTATCATCTAACAATAATGAAAATATTAATTATAAAAAAATTTCATATAAGACGGACAGTCAAACGTTGGCACGGGAACTCACGGTTTGCCTTTTTTCGGGACGTAGGGAGTATGTGTTAAAAGACCGCTCCGGTGCAGAAGGGCCCATCCTACACTTGCGATAAGGGCAAGTACTATAAGGTTCTAAGCACAAACTCCAAAGTGACATGTATGCTTAAATAATGATGTGGAGGAGAGAAAAGAAGAGAAAGGGGAGGAGCCACCCCTCATGTAAGAGCAGGTACAATAGCAGGTTATAAACCGGCTGTAACCATATATCGAGAAGAAAAGAGAAGAGAGAGAAGAAAGCGGGCTACAGATTTGTAGCCGGCTGCAACACGGACTCCAAAATGTTATATGTGTATGAGAGGTGGGACCGTGTATTAATGATGTAGTATATTTTTATAGTTAACTATTGTATGAATGAGCTATTAGATTAGCTATAGATGTTTTAGAGCCAGTAGTTGCTATACTATTGACCTTGCTCTAAGAGCAAGTTTAATAGTATAGCTGGCTACCGGCTCCAAAAGTTCCATGTCAACAAAAAATAATGGAAAGAGATTAGCTTGTAAAACAAGTAGCTACATTAGCACATTCCTCTAAAAGATTATTTTATAATCTTCTAATCTGATCAGCTCTTGCGATTGGCAGGGCAGCCATGCATGCATGGAACTATGTGCTGGAGCTCGCGACTAATTAAGCGCCAGCTTTTCTCTCTCCTTCCGTTCTCTCTGCTCCACCTTAGCCAAAAACTAAATTGTTTATTCCTATCGTCGGCTGACATAAGCCTATTGAACCTGCTCTAAGGGACAACCTTCACACAAATTTCAATAAAGAAGAGAAAATAAGATGGCTGATTGGTGGCAAGTGTATTGGGACTAGTGTATTAAATACAATGCATCTACATAAGTTAATTTTAATTTTTGGATAGATGATGTGGATAAAATTGGAGGTGACCACCACATCTATTATAAAACTTGCCCTAGCATCCATTGTGGCTAGTGGAGCCACTGGAGCGCCTGTAGTTCCCCAAGGGCGAGAGGAGGACCCACCGGGCGATCTGGACCGTCCGTCTGCCGGACTGACTACCGGGGCCGCGGGTGGGCGGTCACCTCGCCGTCGACGCTCTGTGGGGCCCGCGCGGCGCACCTCGCGTTTCAAATTTGAAACCCGGCCTCGTTCGTTCTAGCCGTTTGGTGCTACAGCTACAGCGTAGTTGTACCAGTGCTCCGCTTCGTTACTCCGGTCACGTGCCACGTGAGATGCACGGTGCAAAATGGTGAGATTTGGCCGAAGCATTTATCCACCTTGGAGCGGGATTGCACGTTGCTACGCTCCTCTGATCCTCTGTGCCAGTAGGCGGCAGTCGCTCTACGTCGTCGCGGTTTCACTTGTAGAGTGCTGTACAGCAGAGTACAGGCAAATTCGGCCTGGTTGGATCAGTTCAGCGGCCCATGAGCACTGCCCCAGACTTAGCCCAACTAAGGGACAGGCCGTCTTCCGTTCCGGGAAAGGAATAAGTTCAGCGGAGATCCATCAACTTAACAGCGAGATTTTTCAAGGTCCCTAAACAACAAAACCATAAATGTGTACCCTAAACTCACACAAACCGTTCAAAAGAGGTCTCATGGCAGTATATGTGGATGGTTTCGCTGACGTGGCATCCTAGTCAGCAAAAAAAAAAATAAAAAGTATGTAGGGCCCACATGTCAGTTACACATCGTCCTCTTCTCTTCTCTTTCTTTTCTTCTCCTCATCTTCTCTTTCTCTTCTTCTTCACTAAGTGAGTACGATGGGCGATGGGCGGGCGGCGGGTCCACGCACCAGCGAAGCGGCGGCGGGCGCGGCCTGTGGGCAGAATGGAGGCGGGCGGAACAGCGACGGGCGGAGCGGCGCTGGGATGCGGGCAGAGCGGCGATGGGCGGTGGTGAGAGAGCGGAAGGCAAGCGCAACGGACGGCGGGGGAGCATGGTGGCGGGCAAGTGGACGAGCACGGCAGGCGGAGGGGGGCCGTAACAGCGGAGGTGGCTGAAGAAGGAGCGTGGCGGCGGTGGGCGAGCTCCGCCGCCCTACTCTGCCAGCCGTGTCGGCGGAGGCGGCGAGAGCGGCGCGCGGAGCGGACAGAGCGAACGAGCACGTCGTTCTCGCCGCTAGTTCCCCTCGCCAAGTACACCCTCTCTCGCGTCCCTGTCCTCATCCTCGCGCTCTCCGTCTCCGACCCCAACGTCCCGCTCGGCCCCGTCGTCGATGAGTCCTACACGCTTTCTGTGCTCCTGGACTCCGGATCGGCCGATATCTCCGCCACCACGCCATGGGGCATGGGGCGCCATCCGCTCTGCCCGCCGCCCGCCCATCGCCGCTTTGTCCGCCGACCGCGCTCACTTGTCGCCGTCGTCCGCCGCTCAGCTGCCGCGCAGACCCGTTGTCTTTCTCGCCCACCGCCCGCCCATCGCGCTCACTCAGTGAAGAAGAAGGGAAAGAGAAGAGGAGGAGAAGAAAATAAAGAGGAGAAGAGGACGATGTGTAATTGACATGTGGGCCCCACGTACTTTTTTATAAAAAATTTGCTGACTAGGATGTCATGTCAGCGAAACTACCCACATATACTGCCATGGGACATCCTTTGAATGTTTTGTGTGAGTTTAGGGGTATACGTTTATGGTTTTGTAGTTTAGGGATCTCAACAAATCTCGCTGTTAAGTTGAGGGACCTCTGGTGAACTTATTCTTTCCGGGAAAAGAGAACAGTTTTGGGTCAGCATTAGGCCCGATGTACACGACTGGGCCTCGTTTAACAACTACTAGTACGTATTTAGGCCCAAGGGTCTGGAAGTTTGAAAGCCCATTTTCTCGTCAAGAATCGCTCTCTCAATCAACGAAGACGATGACTGGACGGGGAGAAAAAAGAAACAAACACAACCATGTCGAATCGAATCGAATCAAATCAAATCAAAACCTGCTTTTTTTATATAGAGATATCAAATAGAATTTTCTTTTTGCCAAGTCAAATAATGCCTTCTTTGACAGTTAATCGGTCACACATTCACCCCATTTAGAGCAAGTATAATAGGAGGATGCAAGCCGACTAAATAGTGAGGTAAAGGAGAAAAGAGAGGAGAGAGGGGAGAAGCGGGCTATAAACTTACAGCCGGCTTGAACACAAGAACCAAAAAACTTTGTGAGAGATAAGTGGACCCAGTATTAATTGTAAAGAGCTAACTATTATATAGGTAGACTGTGAGAATGCTACAAAACCTTAAAGCCAATAAGTCGGCCGTATTATTAGCCTAGCTCTTAGAGCAAGTTTAATATTATAGCCAACTACTAGCTCTAAGTCATCTATAGTCAATTCATACAATAGTTACATACTACACTATTAATATCCGGTCCCACCTGTCATACACACTTGTCTGGGAGTCCGTGCTATAGCTGGCTACAAATCTGTAACCCGCTGCTATTCTCTCTCCTCTTTTATCTACTTTAGATATGTTTATAGCTAGCTTATAGATTGTTATTGTATCTGCTCTTAATTTAGAACAAGTTTAATAGTACAGCCCACTACTAGCTTCAATTAATCTAAAGCCAATTCATATAATAGTTGCTTACTATACTATTAATATATGGTCCTACCTGTCATACACACATTGCGTCTTGAAGTCCGTGCTGCAGCTGGCTACAGATTGTAGCCCGCTGCTCTTCTCTCTCATATTTTATCTTATTAAAATATATTTATAGCTAACTAATAGTCTGCTATTATACCTACCATTAGGCTCCGTTCGTTACCTCCCTTTCCCAACCTCACTCCCTTATTTTTCACGCACATGTTTTTTTAAACTGCTAAACGGTACGTTTTTTGCACAAAAAAAATATACGAAAGTTGCTTAAAATATCATATTAATCCATTTTTTTAAAAAAATTAGTAAATACTTAATAAATCATACAATAATACTTCTAGGTGCTTTGTTTTGCCGGGAGGCCCCCTCCCGAACACAGCCCTGTAGGCTGTAGTACAGTGGAGTCGTGGAGCAGTACTACTAATCCCTCCGTCCTAAAATAAATGTAATTTTAGTATTATTTATGTTCAACGTTTGACCGTTCGTCTTATTTGAAAAAAAGATTATGATTAGTATTTTTATTGTTATTAGATGATAAAACATGAATACTATTTTATGTGTGACTAATTTTTTTAATATTTTTTATAAATTTTTTAAATAAGACGGATGGTCAAAACGCTAAACACGGATATTTATGGTTGTAATTATTTTTGGACGGAGGTAGTACTCCGTAGTCCCTACATGTGACTCCGTGAGTCGTAACTCCTCCGGGTTCCGTGACCAATTAGGACGGCGACTAGCCGAAACGCCGAGCCCAACCAACCAATCAAGAACGACGACTACCCGAAACGCCGAGCCCAGCCAACTAACCTCCACTGTCCAGAGTCCGAACCCCAAAGGCAGGCAGGCACGGTCGGGTAGTTCGCGCCACGTCGCTTCGCGTCGCCTATATAGAATAGCAAAGCGACGACGCAGCAAATCGCGAACCCGCACGCAACCCCCGGTCCCGGTCCTCCCCCGGCCGGACGCCGGAGTCCGCAAGGCAAGCCCCCAAACGCCGCCGTCGCTGTCCCCACCGTCAAGCCGCCCCCGACCGCGTCCACATTCCACACTTGCCACCGCCCGTACAAGCGCCGATGGATCCTCGCTCGACGGCCGATCCTGCCAGCTCGAGTACTTCCACCCACTCCACCACCACCACCTCCCCTACCCCTACCCCCTCCCCCTCCTCGCTGCGGAAGCGGGTGCTCTCGATAGACACGTCGTCGCGTGACTCGCGTGGCTCGCCCGGCAGGGAGAGGGAGAGCAAGGCGCGGCAGGAGGAGGAGGAGGAGGAGAGCGTGATGGCATCGGCGGCGGCGTCGGAGGCGGAGAGGGAGAGGGACGTGGAGGCCGCGGTGCCGGTGCCGATGAGCCCGGCGGGGCGGCTGTTCCGGGAGACCAACTTCAACTGCTACATCGTGGCGGTGATCGGGCTCGGCGCCCGGGTGGACGTCGCGGCGGCGCGCGCCGGGCTGGAGGCCACCCTCGTCCGCCACCCCCGCTTCTGCAGCGTCCAGGTAACTAAACCCACCGCTCCATGATCCCTTTGCATCGATTTCTCATCTCGTCCTCGATCGCCAACTTGCACCCAAAAAAATGCGCTCGTTTGGTGGCAAAATTAAATTTGCTGAAGCATCCCGCATCTCGGGCGCACATGGAGTTGAGACCGCCGGTGTCGACGCTGACACGCGCACGTTGTTCCTACTTGAAAAAAAAATTCTGGGGCCGCGTGGAAGCATTGATTTCTGCTTCATTTTTCCGGTGGATGGACGCTCCTGGCGCCTCGCCGGCTCACTTTCTTGCGGTTGTCTGGGCTAGAATGGCTGCTTCCGAGGATACGCACGGCGGCCGTGACTCCGGCCAAAAACAAGCTGGGACAAAAGTAGGAAGTGGCTGTGCTGTGTGTACAATGCTCTTGCTAGCTTTCTCGAAGTCATCTGATGCTTGAACCGACCAATCCATTGGCTCAGCGAGCATTAATCCCGGCGAGAGATAGTGCGCGAAGCCACGAATCAGTGTGAATCACCATCACCTTTACTCCCCGTCAAATCTCTTTTGTGTTAGTTAACCGGGCTGTTATTGCCTGATTTATGGTTTGGATCGCGAAGTAGCTGGTTTGATACTGCACCCATGCCCTCCTATTAATGCGGTGGCAGATACAGAGCAGCCGTCCTAGACTATCGCTACTCATCAGCTACTGTGTTTATGACCGGGAGCAGCCGTTTGGCATGAAAATGTGGAGAGAATCATCCGAGAAGCTGGCTTTCATCGCGATGGATCGTCCACGTTTTCCAGCTGAAAGCAGATACCGGACATGTGGATCATAATTCCGCGACGTGCGGGATTTGAAGCAAATCAACGTCAGAATTAAGTACCGTCAGTCCGTCACTGTACGCACGGGGACGGCTCGCTTTTCTTCGTTAACCCCGTGTATGGATTGCGAGCCAGGTGAAACAAACATCTGTAGTGTGTTGGCTAGAGGCCTCCAGATCGTATTGCAAATCGTTAACTGCCAGTGGTAAGTAGTTAGGTTTCACCGAACCATGTTAGGTGGGATTACCGTCACCCCGTAATTTAATGGTTATCATTGTAATCATATAGCTACCGCGAAAACCGTACAATTACCACGAAATATACCATGTTTTGAAAAAAACTATAAGGATTACCATATGTAATAATCATGATAATGATACGATTTTGTAAACCCCACTACTACGTGATCAATTGCTTTCGAATAAATCCTTTGGAACAGCGTTGCTATGCCTAGTTGCATAGTACGTGTTCGTAGTGTTTTCTCTCTTTTTTAAAAAAAAGGCAAACGCTTTGCCATTTTTAAATTAGCTTTCATAGTGTAACACTGTCGGTAATGCTTGATCCATTGTATCCATCGTCTTTTTTCTGAACCTGTCGCATTCAGCGTACAGTTAAAAAAAAAACACTTTAAGAAGTGCATTTCTGCAGGTGTCGGATGAGGCGAGCAAGCGGGCGAAGCCACGGTGGGTCCGGACGACAGTGAACCTGGACGACCACCTCATCTTCCCCGAGCTGGACCCCACCGCCACGTCAGCCAGCCCCGACCAGGTCATCGAGGACTACATGTCCACGCTGTCCACGCAGCCGATGGACCACTCCCGCCCGCTCTGGGAGCTCCACGTCCTCGACTTCCCGACCTCCGAGGCGGCCGCCACCGTCGCCGTCAGGATGCACCACTCCCTCGGCGACGGCATCTCGCTGCTGTCCCTCCTCATCGCGTGCACGCGCAGCGCCGCCGACCCGGCGAGGCTGCCGGCGCTGCCGCCGGCGCCGGCGCGGCGGGACGGGCCAGTGTACGCACGCCGGCGACCGCCGCTCTCGGCGGGGATCGTGGCGCTCGCCGCGTGGGCCTGGTCCTACCTCGTGCTCGCCTTGCACACGCTCGTCGACGTCGCCTGCTTCGTCGCGACGTCGCTGTTCCTCCGCGACGCGCGCACGCCGCTCATGGGGACGGAGGGCGTCGAGTTCCGGCGCAAGCGGTTCGTCCACTGCACGCTCAGCCTCGACGACGTCAAGCTCGTCAAGAATGCCATGAAGTGTGTAAGACCATCTTCTCCCTATTCTTGGGTTCTTAGTTCTTGCTGAACTGCATATGTCAGCTTAACTCTGAAACATCATACGAAATGTCATTCCTCCTGGTGTTTTTTCAGACTGTGAATGATGTGTTAGTTGGAGTGACTTCTGCAGCATTGTCGCGCTATTACTTCCGCAAAGAAAGTGAGTGATCTTCCTCCAAAGTTATCATGGGCTAATCGTACGTAGTATATATACTGCTAGCTGCATCTGAAGTCATGTTTTCTGAACTTATTCAGATGATACGAACAGCGAGAAGCGTACGCGACGAAAGCACATCCGTGTGCGGTCTGCTCTTCTTGTTAACATCAGGAAAACACCTGGCTTACATGTAAGAAAAGGATTCATTATGATCTGTCCACTCTTATTATAATTTTCATGAATGGGTATTTCAGTTCCTTTTAGCAGTCAAGTCATGATAGTTACTGAACTTTTGGATATTTTGTTTCTGCTTTGAGCAGGTATTGGCAGAAATGATGAATTCCAACAAGAACAATGTTGCGAGATGGGGAAATCTAATTGGTTACATCGTACTTCCTTTCCGTATAGCCATGTTCCACGATCCTCTTGAATATATTCGTCAGGGGAAAAGAACAGTTGACAGGAAGAAGAGCTCGTTGGAAGCAATCTTCACTTATTGGAGCGGCAACCTAATAGTCAAACTTTTTGGCATTAAGGTATTGATTCTCTACGTTATGTTTTGCTGGGATAATTAGTAGAGCAGTTCTATTATCTGAATTTTGTCGATCATTAACCGGAGATGCTAACTGAGGCCACTTGTCTTTAGTTAATTAATCTGTTTATTCATTGGTGTAATGTACATGGCAACTTCTGTAGACTGCAGCTGCTCTCTGCCATGGCATGCTCGCTAATACCACTCTGTCATTCTCGAGCATGGTCGGACCTGCAGAGAAGGTGGAGTTCTACGGGCATCCTATCGAGTACATTGCCCCAAGTGTATATGGGCATCCACATGTAAGTAACCACTTGTTTTTTTTTTAATGAGAAAATAAGTTCATTTGTAAAGGTTGCACGTCAGCTTTCACACGTCATTGATATATTATCACCTGCTTTGCTTGAAACATAGATAATTGTTCAGAAGTCACCGTTTTTAATTAATTTGGTGATGACATGTAGCGATTAAGTTTCAGGCATAAAGTGAAACATTTCCAATGATAATTCTCCAGTTGTGATTGCAAGCCTTTTTTGTCAAAGAGACATGACTCATGAGTGCTTCGACTTTTACATAGGCACACCTGAAAGCACCCAATCATTTCATTTGAATATGTGCAGGCACTGACAGTACATTACCAGAGCTACATGAACATTATCAAGCTTGTCCTCGCCGTCGATGATGCACAGTTCCCGGATGCTCACCAGCTGCTGGATGATTTCGCTGAGTCCCTCAGGCTTATCCGGCAGGCAGCTTCAACAAAATCATAGAAGCAGCTAGACTGTTTTTTCTCTCACTTTTTGAGATTGGTAGTAAGCACAAAGAATCACAGTGCACCCTCCAATCAGTAAAAACTTAGTTGTACCACAATTTTCAGCATTCAATATTCTTGTCACAATAAAATGGCCCCATCTGGACTGCCTAATTTTGACACCATCTACTGACATGTCGGTCCTTCAGATTTCCTTTTCCCTGAAAGGACCGTCCGGCTTGTCCTGTTAACGGTTACGGCTCTGCAAATCCTGGAATTCTGCATCTCCTAACAGAAGCAACCCGAATCTCACAGCACGTACACAGATTCACCACACCTCCCTCCCACATAGAAACTCTCTTACGAATATGCTACAATCCATGTCACGTGTTCACGGCGCAGCAGTAGCAAACGGATCAGAACCTCTTGCTTCAAAATCACATGACTTTATTCTTGATAGGGAAAACTATTTTAAACTCTTAAAAGGATGTTCACTTATTATTTACATATCATTCAAATGGTTATAATTTTTTTTTAAAAAAATGAGTAGATATATTAATATGTGATATATCACTACACAAATACTACCTCCGTCCCAGTATATTTGATGTTTAACTTCCTATCCATTGTCCCACAATGCTTGATGTTTTAGCAAGGAGCATAAACGTGGGGCCGTGCAACAGCGTACGATTCAAAATTTACTAATCGGGTTTCCAGGAACAGCAGCTCATCCATGATTCCACCGTGGCAGGAACTGCAGGTGTATTCTTGGTTTGAAATGACTACTCATCATGGTTATTCAAAGTAGCTAGTATTCCAGCTAGGACTATATGGTAATTTTCACCAGAGCTTAATTTGGTATGTGTGTGTATATATATATATATATATATATATATATATATATATATATATATATATATATATATATATATATATATATATATATATATATTCGACTTCTATATTTCGCAACGAAAAAACAAATTAAACTACAACCATCTAATGTGTATTCATAATTAAATTTGTTTTTCCGGTTGTGATATGTAGAAGTTAAATTTTATTTTGCATGTTTGTGAAGTGGCATGTTAATAATACATTTTCTCAAATTATTCTATAACTATTTGATTTTAAAATCCACTATCTTCATGATAGGTCCTGGACTCACAAGTTATTGAGAACGGCACGGTTTTTTCAACAGTAGAGGATCTCGCTCCGTAGCAAACCGTACGCGACGAATACGTGGGGTCGTGGGCCGCTTTTGCCCGTTTTGCACTCCAAGCTCCCCACACCGTGCGAGCGTCGGTCCGTTCGCTCGCTCGCTCGCTCGCCTCCAGATCTGGAGGCGATCCATCCATCCATCCACCGAGACGGCGCGGGGCGCGCGCGCAAGGAGAGGGACACCCAAACCGGCACCACCAACAACCACACACCTCCTCCGCTAGCTGCACCAATCATAGGCGCGCAGAGGCCACGGGGCCCCAGCCGCAGCGACACGCCACCAGCAAAATCTCCTCTACTAGCTCATCCAAAGCGCCACCAACTGATGACTGCAACCTCTCATCAACCGGCTCTCTCCTCCTCCTAAACCGGGCAGCTTCTCTCTCTCGCGTTGCTGCCGCGCGCGGGGCACACAGCTAAGCTAGTGTCGCCATTGCCATTGTCTTGGAAGGAGGTTGGTTAGCATGGCTCGCGTGTCGGCGGCGGCGGTTGCCGTGCTGGTGGTGGCGTTCGCGGCGGCGGCGGCGGCGCAGGAGAGCTGCAACACCGAGCTGCCGGGCGTGCTCGTCGGCAACTACTCCGGCCTGAATTGCCAGCCGGTCTGGAACAATTTCGTGCTCCGGGTAAGTGGTTTCTCCCACCGCCATTGTTCTTACCTGTTCTTCTCAGCACATAATTGAGGTTGTGTAGCGCTGTTCGAGCATAGCTAGCTCTAAGTTCAGTACTCTGCGTGTGCTTGCAATGAGCTGAGATCTGCAAGGATTTCAGGTGGATCTAGTTTGTACCTAACCTGCTAGGACATTGCCAACTGCCCAACTGAAATTGATGTATGATTCGCTAGTGCAGCAGTAAGCCAGTAACTTTTCAGTGACAGTAAAACAGTGAATTCGAGCAAACCAAACCACACAATTGCCAAGAAAAATCCTGAAGTGTTACAGTTAGTTTCGACTCTACCATTCCAAAACAATCTCAATTCAGACTCTCATACAATTATGACAATGTAAATCACTTCCATTTTCTAAAAATTCGGACTCTCACATACTCCAATGCATATATGCGCAGTATCACCAAGACAAGAACAACGTGCTGAGGGTGGTGCTGTCGACGATGTACAGCACGGGGTGGGTGGGGATGGGGTTCTCCCGGGACGGCCTCATGGTGGGCTCGAGCGCCATGGTCGGGTGGATCGGGCGGAAGGGCCTCCCGCACGTCAAGCAGTTCGCGCTGCGCGGCAAGACGAGCGGCAAGGTGGTCGTCAACCGCGGCTTCCTCGTCTCCAACTCCAACAACCACGACCACACCGTCGTGGTGCAGCAGGCCAGGATCTACCTCGCGTTCCAGCTCCAGTTCTCCTACCGACTCACCCACCAGCACATCATCCTCGCCTTCGGCTCCTCCATCCCCGTCAACAACAAGCTCACCAAGCACCAGGACAAGACATCCTTCACCTTCGATTTCACCACTGGTACGTATATATTCCTCAGGTTATAAGACGTGTCAAAGTCAAACTACTTTAAATTTAACTAAGTTTATACATAAATATAGTAATATTTATAATACTAAATTAGTTTCATTAAATCAATAATTGAATATATTTTCATAATAAATTTACGTTGAGTTGAAAATATTATTTTTTCTATAAACTTAGTCAAACTTGAAGCAGTTTGACTTTGACCAATGTCAAAACGTCTTATAATTTTCAGAGGGAGTATATTATATGCTTCTCATCAACCTGATCTTGATCTTCTCCTCTCTCCCTCTGTTTAATTTGGACAACTTGACATTTTCGCTGCACTATGTGTGAGGTTCAGAGTGAAGTCCCTGACGGTGGTTAGCAAATCTGTTGATGAATGACATTGCACCTAACTGGAAAATTGAATAATAGGAGTAACAAATTACAGTTGACATCTTAGTCGATCCTATATACCATAAAAAATGAGCTGACAATATCACTTGAACTGTAATCAATGTGTCAGTTAGCGAAAAAGGTGTTTGATTCTTGAAGTTTCAGTCGTCAGTCGCCACTTTTCTGTTGCCGTATCAACATTCTTCCTTGGTGGCATTATGTGCACAACAAGATGCTTTTACACACTCCGTCTTCAAATACTAGACCTCTTATTGGATACTACTCATATTCATCTTTAAACTTTAACTACTTATCTTTTAAAAAACTATATAAATATTTAATCAAGTGTTGCATCCTAAATATACGGCCCCATCGTATCGCTCAAACGAAAAATAATTTGTGAATAAAACTTTTATACATATTTTCTTAGCGATTTAAAAACAAAGACTGAAAAATAAACTTTAATGAAAAAAACCCCAAAATCAATTTTAAATTTGATGTTGAAAATTTAAATTTTGGCTGGTAAGTATAAGTATAAGCGAAAAGATGAGGCCGATAGTTGTGAAACTTGAGGGAGCATTTTCGAAAACATTTTTTTTTACAGCAGAGTTGATGAATCTGCAGGTAAAGCTTTCGTGGACGGGTCGTTCCCCTACGGTCTGAGGAGGGCACACGGTGCTCTGAACCTGTTCGCGTGGGGCGTCCTGATGCCGATCGGCGCCATCCTGGCGCGCTACTTCCGGCGGATGGACCCTCTCTGGTTCTACCTCCACGTCGGCGTCCAGTTCGTCGCCTTCATCATCGGCCTCGCCGGCGTCGTCGCCGGAGTTGCCCTCTACAACAAGATCCAGGCCGACATCCCGGCGCACAGGGGCCTCGGCATCTTCATCCTCGTCCTCGGCATCCTTCAGGTCGTCACCCATTGCACGCATCACATCTCTCTGCTCCGTTCTTGCAGAAAGCAAGCACGGTCACTGCATGAACAGAACAGATGAACTGATGATGATGATGATTTTCTGAAATGTTTCAGATTTTGGCGTTCTTCCTGCGGCCGAACACGGACTCCAAGTACCGGAAGTATTGGAACTGGTACCACCACTGGTCGGGCAGGCTGGTGCTGTTCTTCGCCGCCGTCAACATCGTGCTCGGTATCCACGTCGGCGGCGGGGACAACTCGTGGAAGATCGGGTACGGCTTCAACCTCGCCATCATCCTCCTCGCCGTCATCGGGCTGGAGTTCATGCTGCGGACGAGGTGGTCCAAGGAAAGCGAGCCCACGCCGACGTACTAGGCGCGGCGCCGGCGGCCGCCGTTGATGCCGCGAACCCACTATTTTTTGGTTTTTTTTTTGTGCCCTTGGGCGCTGGACTGTGTCTTAGCTCTGGTGGTGTTGTGATTGTTTTTTGGCCTTCTGTGCTGTTCGATTTTCTGCATGTTGCTGTCAAGTGAAACTGTGAAAAAGTGTAAGCGTGAGCAGGTGCAATTGCACTATGCCACAATTGATAGGTTTTCGTTTTTGTTTCTGAGATGCACTGTCCTGAGGTGTAAGACCACTTGCTTAGCAGAAAAAGTCAATGACGGTCATGGTGCATAGGACAACTGCTGCTAGGAGTTTACAGCGTACCAGATAGTAGTTCACAGTTCAGGACATTTCTGATCGAAATTTTCAAAATGTTGAATACACAAGAGTATCTCGGTAGGACTTGGCACCGATCAAAAAAATTCAGCTAAAAAAAAACAGATTCAGCAAAAATATATTCAAAATTCAAGATGTTTTTTTTGGAATATTCAATAAGCACATCTTTGCATTAAGAGAAATAAAAGTTATTTATGAGCCAACTAAAAGACAAAAAAAAAGAGAAGGGGAACGGGAAAGGGGAAACTGAAAAGAGCAAAACTGCGAAAACCTATTCTCGCTACAGAAGTTGGTTGGTGATCACCAGGACCCCTAGTAGCTAAGGGGCTGTTTGGTTGCTGCCCTCGCCTGGAGACCATTGCTCAGGCAGGTCGATCCGACCGCAGGCGACCGAAATTGGACGCCTGAGATCGACGCCTGAGCCAGGCGCGAATCTGAGGGCAGCAAGCAAACACGCCCTAAACTCCTAACGTCGGCATTAACACATTAGCCAAACACCAAAAGCCCCGCCTTCCGCAGCCATAGCCTTCCCTACCTCCGCCCAGGATCTCTGTTGAAAGTTGAACATCCTATTTTCCGTTCCTTTTAAATTGTCCATGCTACAAGAGTTGCAATAGTGTTGAACCTTCGTCGAAGAACCTTGGTGAGAGCCACTAGTAAAACAAGTTCTCACGCATTGACAGACTGTATGACTACCCAATTGCCTTGAGCGCCAGTCTTCCGGGCATACGACCAAGATATGATTGATATTGTCCTCTTGCTGATCGAAAAGGACACAACGACCAGGGGTGTGCTAGCCCATGACTACGGAGGCGGTCGGCCACCTAGCACATGTTTAGAGTGACTAGCCAAACGAAGTAGCGACAACAAAGTGGTGCCAACGACTTCTAGAGAATTTAGGTCCCGTTTGGCACAGCTCTAGTTCTCAACTCCAACTTACCTAAAGCTGGAGTTGTGCCAAACGGTACAGATTCTTCATTTTTCGGAGCGGAGTTAGTAGAGTTGCTCCACAAATTTGTATTACGGGGGTGGAGCTGTTTTTTTTTCTCCTCCACAGCTCCACTCTACCTCCAAAAGACCCACTACCCTTTAATTTTTTTAATGTATTTACACAAAAATGCCAATGAACTACCCCCTTCAAACCCCTCTCCTCTCGTTCTCTCTCCTCCCCATCTTCCTCCCGACCTAGGCGACGACCGACGAAGGGTTGCGGTGGAGTCGACGGCGGGCGCATGTCGCGGTTGTGAAGCGGTGCGCGTGGCAGTAGGTGGCGACGCGCGGGCTGACTGGCGGCGGCACGCGAGCGGAGCGGCGTTGGCAGGCGCGGGCTGACTGCTGGCGGCACGCGAGTGGAGTGGCGTCGGTGACGCGTGGTCTGACCGCCGGAGGCAGTGACGTCAACAAGGTGGTCGATGAAATGGCGACAAGAGATGTGGTGGCGTGGAGCTGACAAATCTAGCCAAACACTTTCTATACCCACCTCAGTTTCTATTGGAGCTTGTTTCCACTGGAGTTGGAGTTTGTAACTCTACCAAACGGAACCTTAAAATGTTCATTAAAAATATTGGAATTCTAGCCCCTAAAATATTTTCTTACCCCAAAACTGTGAGCTCTCTGAGACATCCGGATCAGAAGTTCAGAACCAATCACACCACCGCTTGGAGTGGATTGAGTTCAGGTGCAGTCATTACTATGCCTTCAACTTTAGCAATTGCAATGTAGCTGATGAATAAAAACCAACAGCTCAGGGTGTGTTTAGTTGGGGAAAAGAAAATTTTTGGGTGTCACATCGGACGTTTGATCGGATGTCGGAAGGGGTTTTCGGACACGAATGAAAAAACTAATTTTAGAAATCGCCTGGAAACCGCGAGACGAATCTTTTGAGACTAATTAAGCCGTCATTAGCACATGTGGGTTACTGTAGCACTTATGGCTAATCACGGACTATTTAGGCTTAAAAGATTCGTCTCACAATTTCCCCCATAATTGTGCAATTAGTTTTTCTTTTTATCTATATTTAATGCTTCATGCATATGTCCAAAGATTCGATGTGATGTTTTTGGGAAAAAAATTTGGGGAACTAAACGGGCCCTCAGACCATTAGAAAAGATGAATTACTGTAGTGAATTTCTCCTGTAGCGATTACTATATCATCAAGGTGTGAATGTGTAATAGCAAGGCACAGCAAATCTGAGCCTTTAGCTCCATCAATCCAACGGTTATAATGTGCTTCAACTGTTAAAGTTGCATTCGTTACTACTTACTATAACTGCACACATGATCTGAATTCGTTTGGAGCAGCAGGCTGCGCGGCGGGCGGCAGGCTCACGCTGATACAGGCCGCGCCGGTGCCGCCCAACCCAGCAAAGCAAAGCAGCCGCAGCAGCCCACGCACGCCACGCGCTCCAAGCGGCCCGCTGCATGCCACAACCGCGCAGTCCGCTCGGCGTCCGCAATGGCGCAACTCGCGCATCAGCGACGGCAAGCGCTGGCTCTGTGGCTGCACCTGCACCTGCATTGCTGCGGTCAGCGTACGTGCGTATTTGGTGTGTCAACTGGCTTGTTTACGACTTGATTTCGCACCCAGGAAAACACCAAATTGGGGTTCGTACAAGTAAGGCAAGGAAACCGATCCTACTGTAGCACAGCCTAACGTACGTTGCTAATGAGGGTAGGTTTGGGATATTTTTGCGATGCAGCGTGACGGGAGATTTAGTTCCGGTGTCGGTCTGAAATCTGAATGGATTATATTAGGCATGAAATTGCCCGTAATCCAAACTCCGAAGGTGACATGAAGAGGTCCAAAGAGTGGCAATCACATTAACGACCACACTTGATGAATACAGAGAGATGCCCTTCCTTTGCAACGGTGGGGATTCCATACTTTCATACCACTGGATTTGGCCCTAAGGCTACACATGGGTATATGAACTCCGTCTTTCGCCCCATATGGATGCACCAATGTGCATGGAAAATATCATAAAAACTGAAGGAGTGTAACTTTGGGTTATAAAACACGGATTGAAATTTTGGCATTTGTTTATCATATTAATACTAGCAGCTTGTCTTATTTATTTATACTCCACTTTGTGTGGATCTTTTTTAGTGATGTATTTGTGGTTCATTCATTACCAATAAAAACTACATTTAGCATGGACCATTTATAATAGTGTGTTTGTTGGTCTTTGTGTGTCTTTGACACAATGATAACCATCCATTATCTAGAAAAAAACTATGTTTAGTGTGGATCACTTGTAATAATGTGTATTGTTGTGCTTTCTTCTTTTTTTTTGCGGGGATATTGTTGTGCTTTCTGTTCCTTCAATACAAACAGACCGGTATACAAACCGTGGCGTGGCTTTCTTACCCATGCCACGGTTTTTAGGCATTACAAAGATGGCAATTACATGATTGACATATAAAGAAAATATTGTTAGAAGAAATCTTGTGAGTATATTGAATTCAATGGTTGTGTTGCAATGCAAGAAATACAATTTTGTCTTTCCTCTAGCTACATGGATCCTCAACCTCCCAAATACATTCTTATATTGTTGCTGGTTCTTAGTGTTAGAGTTTATTTAAAACATGATTGAATTGTATTGAGTCCGCCCTTCTATTTTGATCCTTCCATATTTCCTCTATCTCTCTATATAAACCGCCCCTCGATGCTCAACGCAACAACCGACATTACACGTTACCATCTCTCTCACACAAGCTTTCATGTCATTATAGCGGGTGGTTTAGTGCCGTTACAAACTTCCCCACTACTGCCGCCCTTAGGAAGATGGGTCTCTTGGGGGCGCCCCACCTCTTCTCGCTTAGCTTTTCGTCATCGTCTATGCATCCATGCCATCTTTAGGCAACAACAAGCCATTATATATCCATCGCTCCCGATCTCCTTGACCTATACTCCTCCTAGTTTTTTCATTCTTCGCTTGATAGTGAATTGCTTGGTCACCACAGCTGGTGGCTGGGCCTATGCCTCCTCTGTCCCATCTCTGATCGGAGGGCTGAAGTTGTCGCCGAAGCATGGAGCTGTTCCCCCCAACCACACTAGTTTTCTTTCTCATCGTCATCTGCACCACAATTCGCTTGGATCTGCCTCGACTCTGATTTGCTAAACTCTCTCGAGCTTCTTCGCATGGCTGCCTGATCAGTGAGTCGCTACCGTCCCCTAGGGCCCGTCTCCGTCACCGTCACTAAGTGGGCCTTGGTCTCTGCCGAGGTTATCAAATTCCTACCGGTATCCTTATATTCCTCCTCTTCTCATAGGTCCAAGCTAACATGTCTCTTTATCTTCCCTCTCATATCTAAATCATTCAAAATTGAAATTCATGTGATTTTTCTATGATTGAACCAAACACCTCAAATTCACTTCCAATATGGCCTCACTATTCATGGCATTTAATTATCAAAAATTATATTTCTTTGTTTTCTTCAATTATGCATTTCAAAATGAACTGGATCTCTAAGTAAGTTAAGGCAGGAAATCAATGTAGGCTCTGTTTTCCTCTAAAATGGCAAAAGTTTTGCTATTTTGTAGCACTTTTTGCCATTTTGGATCTAAACACTAGTAGCGAAAGTTGGCAGTTTGGCATTTGGCATTTGCTAGTCCATAGTAGCAAATTGTGCCAAAAAGTGCTTTGGGACCACTCCCTCTCTCTTTCTCTCTCTCACTTTAGTGCTAGAAATGACAAAACTTTAACATGCATCTAAACACCAACTAGTACTTTTGCAATGCCAAAACTTTGCCACCAAAACTTTTGCCATTTGCCATTATAAATGGATCTAAACAGGCCCGTATTCCTCGTATAGAACAGTGATCCATGTATAGAATTTTACCAATCCCATTACTTTGTTCTAAAACATCTTTGGATTGGATAAAACTAATTTTTCTTGGTAACTGAAAAGTAAGAAACTCTGGAAACCGGCGTCTCGTAGTCGTAGTACCGGCCACGCAAGACCCGGGGAGTCCTCACGCTCTCCTCCCTCTTCGCGCTCACATGACCCATCAATCCGTGACGTGGAAGTGGATAAGCACATCCACGTCCTCACGCTATCCAATCCTGGCCGTCCGTCCCCAACCCCCACGTCACGTCTTCTCCTACCTAAATCGCACACGAGATGTATATCACTCTGCTTTTCTGGGGCCACGTAGTTGCTGGACCCACACGGCAGTGTCCATTTTGTCCGCGCAGGTGCTGCGAGGACAAACCCACCGTCAGTGACTGGATCGTGTGGGTGACTCGGAGCTGAGCTGGGACCCACTGTCAGTGAATGGATCAAGGGTGACTCGGATCTGAGCTGGGACCCACTGTCAGTGACTGGATCAAGGGTGACTCGGATCAGAGCTGGGACCCACTTTCAGTGACTGGATCGTGTGGGTGACTCGGAGCTGAGCTGGGACCCACTGTCAGTGACTGATCGTGTGGATGACTCGGAGCTTGGGTGGCGCTAGGAATTTTCTCGGGTGGCTTGCAGAACGGAGCACGGGGATGAACTGAAGAAGACGCGTGATTATGCAAACCGCCCCCCGGAATTCTGAGCTAATCCCGCACTGTGGCATGGGCCAGGTTTCGCATTAGGCCAGAGAATTTGGTGCTAATCACACTCCCTGCCATTGGAGGATTTTACTCGAACACCACTGGTTCTTGTGCTAATCACATCTACACCCTAGCCTCGAGGTGCAGTCGTAGAGGTGGCAGAATTGAGAATAGGTGCGAGGAATGGAGGGCATTGTTGGAAGAGTGGAAACGATAAAGCCTTGGGCCGTCTGGCTCGCCTCTCCATCGCCATTGCTGCTGCTCGCTCCGCTTCTCTTCTCTTCTCTTCTGGTCTCGCTGTTAGATTCACCAAGAAACTCATTTCTTCGCGCAATTTCTCCTCGGCTTCTCGGCTCGAGATGTTTGATCTGTAGAGTGAGGCGCAGAGGTGGGAGAGAGTGCGTGTGATTGGGGGGAAACTGAAGAGGGGCGAGGAGAGGTAGAGAGGGAAGGAGGCCATCGATTTGATGCGTGGCTCCGGCGAGGCCGTCGCCGTTGCTCGAGACGTCGCGTCGTCGAGCCCGGCGAAACCCCCATCGGCATTGGACATGATGAGGTGAGGCCTGGAATCTCCAATCCCCTGATGCGTTCGTTGCTGCCGTGCTTCTGGGTGTTCTATCTGCTGCTGCCGCTGCGTTCTTTCGCGAGATCAAAGGTGTGATTTTATCTGCTCGTTTGGGCTTCTGGTTTGTGTCGCTTCGGCTCTCGCCGCCCGATTTAGGCAAGTTTTGTTCATTCCTTTTCTTGCTCGCCGTCGGATTTCTGTTCGTGTGCCGTCTTGATTTCCTTGTTTGACAAAAGGCATCCTTTGATCTATGTTCGGTTTACTGCTGGATTTTGCCAATTCGTCCCTGTTCGGTCCGGCTGTATCTTATCTTTGCTTGTTGCAATTTCGTTGCTTTTTTCCCCATTTCATGGTCACTTTGACTGGTTTCTGAGTAACTTGTCGATTTCGTTCTTGTGCTTGTTCTTCGTCGGCTCCGTGCTGATGGGGATGAGAGCTCACGGCTGAAGATTTTTCGTTCCCTGAGTGGCCTAATTGTTTCAGATATCCACGATTTTCAGCGTTTTCTCGAGTTTGTGTGGTGTGCTGGTTTGTGTCGAACAGATCTCTGAATGGTTTCGTTTGGTCTTCGATTTTGCACTCTGCAAATTTGGGGATGTTCTACTGTTTTTCCTGTCGCGAATTCTCGCGAAAAAGGAGAGTTTTTGCTGTTCGTTTCATCCTCCATTCTGAAGGGGAGACCTTGTTCTTGTCTGATCCAATCGCTCTTGTGTTTCTGTTTGATTCTGCTGCAGATTTCAGAGAGTCAGCCCTGATTGTCTCCCGCTCCCCAATGGCGGCGGCGGTGGCGGAGGTAGCCGGAAGCCGGCGGCGGGGCCCAGATCGAGCAAGGACGACGACGCCCCGGCCGCCGCCGCCGCCGCCGACAGCGCGCGTACCAGCCCCTACCTCGCCGCGGCATCCGCATCGCTCGAGTCCAAGCCGCGCACTCGCGCTCCTCCTCCGCCGCCACCGGCACCGGCTCCGGCCCCGCCGTCGTCGTCGTCGGCAGCCGCTGCGCCAGGCAGGAGCCCGGCGCGCGAGCGCGAGCGCGACCACGGCCACCACCCCTCCGACATCTCCGACCCCACCTCCCCGAGCTCCACCGGCGTCGGCGGCGGCGGTGCTGGGGGGAGCGGCAGCGCGGTGCCCGACTCCGCCGTGCTCCTCCAATGGGGACACAACAAGCGCTCGCGCGGACGCCGCGACGCCTCCGCCTCGTCGTCGTCGGCGGCCGCGCCCTCGCCGCAGCGTCGCCAGGCCGCCGCCGCCGCGGGCGTCAAGATCCAGCGCCGCTCCTCGGCGCCGGCGGAGAAGCTGATGCCGCCGCCGAGCACGACTCCCTCCCGCAGCTCCACCCTCCGCGTCACCTCCTCCCTCCCCGCCCGCGGCGGCGGCGGCGGCGACGCCCACCACCATGGCCGCTCCGCCCTCCCCCACAACAGCAGGTACACGCACTTACCCATCCTTCGGTGGATAGCCCGGCCCGGCCCGGCCCATCATCTCATCGTCTTCCTCCTCTTTTTCCTTTTCCCCGAATTTTTCACTCTTCCGGTTTTGCCCCTCGGACCGAGCCGTATTCTCGGGCTCGTGGCCTCGCGGTCGCCGGCATCGGATCGCTTCCGGTTTGGTTCTAGTATAGTGGGGCTCTAGGCTCGGCTCGGCTCGGGTCTCCCGCTCTCTCACACTCTGGATGGTGAGCTGAGCTGTCACGCCCCCTCCATCTTTAGCAACCGAGGTGAGGTGCGTTTAGATGATAAGATACCTTCTCCTCTTTTCTTTCCACACCATTTTTTTCCCTTTTTTTTTTGTACAACAAGAGCAATGAAAATAAAAATATGTAGTAGCAATACTGGTTTGATCGGACTAGTGGTCAATCACTCGGTTGCTTCTGCTTTTAGAAACGACTTTTAGAATTTCTCTTTCCTGATTTTCGAGATCCTTTAGGCAACAATTTTTTGTACTACTAGCCTCTGTCACCATGTCCATGTCAGGATCATCATCAAGCGAGGAGGAGAGCACTTTCCCCTCTTCTTTTCTTTGCTAATCTGTGGGCTCATTCCCATTCATGTCGATCTAGCATTTCATTTCTGTATGCAATATTGCAATCCATATGTCCATTAATGGCTTCTTTTGGTTCATGTGGTGTGGTGATGTGCCATGTGTGTGTGTGTGAACGATCAACCGTGACATCAACTTCAGGCAGCTGATATAGAAGGTGTTGATGTAATATAGGTATAAAAATAGGACACACACATACACATGCACCCTCATCTCATTCTCATCTCCTCCCTCTTTATGTGGGTTGGCATCTGGCAGTCGCTTTGCCGGTGCTCTGCTGTGCTCATTTCATCTGCATCCACCATTTCACCTGGCTGCTCTTGCATCCACTAGAGCTAAGATAGATAGATTGATAAAAACACAAAAAAAAGTTTCTGTTTTTGTTGTTGTGTCCAGCATCCACCGCTGTAGTGGCGAGTTTGCTTTTGTTGCTATGCTTGAATTTGACGGCATGATGATGATCAGATCCGGCGAGCAGTCGGCGGCGGCGACGAAGGCGGAGAAGCAGCAGCAGCGGCCGGCGGCGCACAGGGTGGCGGAGGCCGGTGGGGTGGTCATGGCGCTGGCCAAGACGGACTCCAAGTATCAGCACCACACCGGCCATGGCGGCCACGGCCAGGCCGCCGACCACCATGGGCCCAGCTCGTCGTCGAAGGCGGCGACAGCGGCGGCGCAGAAGATCGAGCTGCCGCGGATCTACACGACGCTGTCGCGCAAGGAGAAGGAGGAGGACTTCATGGCCATGAAAGGCACCAAGCTGCCCCAGCGACCCAAGAAGAGGCCCAAGCTTGTCGAGAAGCAAGTCAACGTATGGATAAATTATGCTACCTAATCAAACTGTGTTTTACTACCATCTTTTTGCTTGATGGTCTTGATGAGAAAACTGACATGATTTTTTTGTTCTGTATTTGTGCAGTTCGTCTGCCCAGGAATGTGGCTCTCGGATGTGACCAGATCCAAGTATATCGTCCGCGAGAAGAAGTCCACCAAGAAGGTACATATACTCCTCTATCGATTTTATCCACATCCACTTTCTCTGATTTGCATCAAGTTAGTAAGTATTTAAAAATCGATAGGTTCAGTAATACTCCTAACTACTTAAAAATCGATAGTACTAGTATTTGGCAGTATCGTCTGAAATTGCGTAAAATTTGGTGAAAATAAAAAATTACCGGGAAAGCCTGAGAAAGCATCAAAGCGAAGGGGCAGGAAAAAAAGCGAAAGGGAAAACGATCCGTCCGTCCGTCCGTCCCCTATGTCGAGTGGGGCCCACGCCCGTGAATGCGCGAGGGGTGCTCATTGATGACTGTGCTTAACCGGCATCTCTGCACTTTATTATCTTTTGCCGACGAGCGGACGTGGGCCCACGTTGGTAGCCTCTTAACGCGTGCTGTCCCGGTCACCCTGCAGGTGGGACCCACCGCAACGCTCGTTGTGGCTCACTGACACGTGGGTCCCTCGTGCAGTCTTGTTGCTGTTTCTGCTTACGTGGGGTTCTTTCTTCTCTTGCACTTCTGAAGTTAGATTAGGACATGTAATAATCAGCATCAACTGTGGGTCATCGTTAGTTGATTCGTCGAATTACTTGTGCCAAGTAGTAGACCTTTTGTCTCTTGTTGTGTTTTTGCTAACAGCTGTACTCGCCGTTCGGTTTGTGTTGTGCGTAATCTGCAATTGCCTCTGACGAGAAATCTAATATCTCTATGTGTTTTTCTTTGTTCCTCTCCTCTGCAGCAACAAAAATACAGGGGACTGAAAGGGATGGAGAGCATGGACAGCGACTCCGAGTGATCGCGAAAACCCGGAGCGCGACGCACAGAGATAGCAGCACAAGTGGGGTGAATTTCGCGTTGGAGCCTGGAGAAAAATCGCGGAAAAGAGAAACGTAAGATCAGTAGAGGAGGAAGAAGAAGAGGAGGAAGATAGGTCAAAGATGGATGGCGATGCAAGCATGAGCCTTCTTTTGGTTTAGGAGAAAAAAACAAACAAAAAAAGGATGATGAAAAACTTTCATTCGGCTGTTCCTTCGATTCCATTTTGTAAATCTGGGTGATTAGGGGCGGCTTTTTTTTTCTAATTGTTTTCTCTTTTTTGTTTTGGTGAAATTTGGTGGTTTACATCCATGGCCATTGCCATGTGGTGATGGTGGTGGGCTGTGAATAGTTTTAGACTGTCAGAGACATTCAGAGTCTCAGGAAGAAGAAAGGAGAAAACTGATGTTAGCTCGCTCAATTCTGCGTATCATTCTTCCGTCATTTTTTCTGCATAGACTGCCTGTGTTTTTTTTACTATTGGCCGTGCATTGCGACGGCGAGCTCTTTTGCAGGAACATTTGCTGGCAACCTCGTACGGCTTCAGCAGATGCAGATCTGACCTCCGGCTGTGGTTGCAGGGTTGAAGACTCGCAGGCAGTGTGTCATCAGAGGCCCAGAGCCCAAACAATGCTCATATGATTATAGTGCTACTGTACCCCATCTCTCAAATAAACTACTTTTGTATATTTAATAAATGGAGGGAATACAACAAGCTTCTTTAGACTGAAGCTAACCTCTGCTGTTCCACTAGGAAATCATGCGAATGACACGCGGAAATTCAGTAGAAATTTGACAAATTGACATATTATTCATTATCAATTTATTTTAATTGATACTTATGAGAATGACACGTGGGACTATCCGAGTGAAGGGAAATGGATAGGGTATCAAATAATTGAACCTCAATTTTGTGGAGTGTTAAATTATCAAATCTCTCGGTTTTGAGGGACAGGGCACGGGCAATGTTTGGTGCTTTGAGGCTCCGTGGTTACTCCATCATGCAGCTCCGTATGGCAGTTCGACCAGTGCATACAGGAGTATTAGTCTAGGAGTACCATAACTGGGACGGCTGTAGAGTGCAGATTAATGTTGGGTGACACAGGCACAGTTTGGTGGAGGGCACCCCTGCTCACCAAACGGCTTTTGGATTCTTCTTCTCTCCTCTCCATGGCAGCCGTCGTCATCTGTGAGCCGCCATCCACTGCCGTGCCTCGTCCACGGCCAAAATGGCAAAAAATCCCTGCAACTTGCTTACCGATCGGGTGATCTATCATCTCCTGCTTCGGTGAGATTTCATTCACTTCAGTAGTTCAGTATCTCTCTTGCGTGTCGGTGGATTGGCCGCGAGGCGTGTGATCTCTTGCGTATCTCTCTTTAGTTTGGTTCTTCAGTTGAGAAGACCAAGAATGAGAAATTGAGATGTAGAGCCGGATTAATTCGGGGATCTCACCGGAGCTCATGGGGGGAGGGAGGGATGAAATTGGCGAGCAAAAACTCCCAACGCGCGCGATTCGCCGGGCGGCGCTCTGACGGACAATCCGAGGCGGCGAAAACGACGAGCGGCTGGTCCTCTCTCTCTCTCTCTCTGCTAGATCGCCCGTCACGTCGCATCTCCCGGCGGGGACACGGAAAACGTCAAGCTCCAAACGCTTGTTCGCCGCTGCCTCCGGGCTGCAGGCAGATGATGCTAGTACGTGGTTATGATCCGTGGTCCACAGCGACAGCGCGCTGAGCCCGAGAGCAAGGTTAAAGTAAATAGTATAGCCAATTATTAGCTTCAAATCATCTATAATCAATTTAACAATCTATATAATAGGAGTAAATTTCAGAAATATACAACTTTAGTGATAAAACTATCGTTTTACTGCAACAATAGCGTGGAAAATCTATCTATCTATTATACTATTAATACAGCTCGAAAAGAAGGCACCACGTTCACCGTAGAGACTAGAAATTACCACGTTAATCGAAGAAAAAGAAAAAATATCGACCGCTTGATCGTTGATGGCCTATATTTTAATGGCTGAGATTTAATTAAAATTTTGGAACATTAGACTTGGTTTCACGTATACAGACATATCAGGCACTATAAATCGGGTATAGTATCATACACGGATCGACATGTGCAGTAGTAATAGGTACCAATTACGACAATAATAGCAATAAGACAGTAGATTCCAAAATAAAAACACCCTACACACAATCCGACTCTGCCAGCCTTCACCGATTCCTGGCTAATCTTGATTGACTCCCCAATAAATACTAAGCACCAGAACGGAGTCACCAACCAGAACAACAAGAGAAGATGTCAATAGCAATCAACACAACCGAAGTGTCCGCAAAACACAGCAGCAAAAAATATGTCCAGGACGCCATTGTCGCCGGATCATTATCGTCAAATTTAGCCTTTTCCAGTTCGGTTTCTTCCTCTCACAACGGCCCTTTGGTATGTTCTGCTCATCTTCTTCTTTTATATTCATGTTTACATATTTGTTAAATTTATTAGCTACTCATTCAATGGTATTTGTTTTAAGACTGAAATAATCTCGATTAACCATACATCGTCAAATATTTTTGATGTCAAATATTTTGGATGGATATGGAGTGTGTGAGCACAATTTTTTTTATGACATCCCCAAAGGAATCCTGTGAGCTTCGCATTGCGAATCCAATCAAACATCCAACAAGCAAGACGAGAACTTGATATTTTGCATAAGAGACAAAACAAATGATATGAATGCACATTACTATTTACCTGAAAGATCCACTGCTCCAAGCATGGACAGCAAAGGAGATGCTGCGCCTAAGGGACCTCGGGGCTTCGTCGCACACAGTAACCGCACACCTCTGATGCATGAGAACGGATCTGACCCTGGAGGCTGGAGCCCTTCCACGTTTCCATCACGCCAAGCTGGACGGGGAGTAGGGAGGGACACCGAGAAAAGTCAAGCAACCGACGACTGGCGGCTGGCGCCGGCCACTGGGAGGGGAGAACGAGGGAAATTTTTCAGGAAGCAAGTGGGGAAAAGATGATAGAAGAGAGGGAGGCGGAAAAAATCAGGAAGCAAGGAAGTGGAAGTGGGGAAAAGAAGATGAGAGAGGTAAACATGACTGACTGACCGGTGAAGTGGTGAGTGGTGAGAGCGAAGACTTAAAAAAAGAAAATGTTGTTGCGCTTGAAAATAATGTAGTCCTCCTGTTACTTTTAATTGATGATACCTTTAATTTTTAGAGACATATTTGACCATGTATTTTATTCAACATTTTACGTAAATACTTAGGATATAACTCATGCTTAAAATACTTTTAATGATAAAACAATTGTATTTATGTAAATTTTTTCAATAAGTAAACGGTGCCATCTATTAAAATACGAGGGCAGTAGTATTTTTATACTGCTTTAAACATTCAACTCTACCAACAAATATAAATAAATAATACCTAAATTTTGGGATAAAAAAGCATAAAAATTCAGACACACAGCACAAGTGCACACACGTGACTACCAGACATATCTATGAAACTGTTAAAAGGTCCAATTTTTAAACTTTAGAAACAAAAAGGTCTAAACTTTAAAGATTATAAGGAGGATAAATATAATTTGTATAGATCCGATGAAAAATAAAGGGGGTGAAAAAAATAAGAGGTAGCGAGTAGTGTGACTTTAAAAATATATAAAATTAGAAACACGGGGATAATAAGGATCAATATTTTAAAATCATAATACAATGAGATGATTATTTAATAAAATTTATGTGTTAAAATAAATAATTTTGTAGGTGCTAGCCGCGCAATTGCGCTGGCCACCCAGCTAGTTATCACAAAATAACTTTTACGTGTAGCAGCATATAGCGTAAAAGTTGCAGTTTTGTGATAATTTCCCACGCTATTGTTACATCAAACTGAAACATGCTACTAATGTTGTAGCAAACTGATAGTTTTGTCATTAAAGTTGTATGTTTCTGAAATTTACTCATATAATAGTTACTTGTAAACATATAATGCACTATTAATATCTGGTCTTACCTATAATACACATGTTGCGTCTTGAAGTCTATATTATAGCTGGCTACAAATGTGTATGACCCGCTGATTTTCCCTCTCCTATTTATTTCCACGGAATATGTTTACCTTTGGTTTTTGGTTTATAGTATGTTATTTTACCTGATCTGATCGGCCGATTTATTTATGGATAAAACGAAAAGATCCATCCGCCGCGTCTACGACTGCGACGTTGGTCGGTCGCAGACTCGCAGCCTCCTGATCCATTTACTACCAAAAAACGTTCAGGTCAGGGAGAGACTCAGGACCATCTCGGGAGAAATTCTAACGAGACCCACACAGTCTGGCCCAACTACTGTCGCATTTGTTTAAATGGGCTGAGCTCTCGGCCCATACAATTGGATGGTTATTGGGCTGATGAGCCGGAAATGCGAGCCCAATTGTAAACCTAAAACACCGCTCGCCGCTGCACCTGCACGCGCCGCATCTCTCCCTCACTCTCTCGATCTCTCACTCGCGTCGCCGCCGTCGCCGCCGCCGCCGCAACTGCCGCTTGCCGAAGCTCCTCCTCCTCGCCGACGAGATGGTACGGCCGCCCTTCCCTACTCTATGGCTCCTCTGATCCTTGCTCTCCATCTGCGGAGCCTTAGGTTTCTGTCCGTTCGTGGCTGGAGCATTCTTGATTTGTGGCTTTATCACAAGTTCCTTTTCCGCGCGATGGAGATATGGTTTCTCAGTTAGATTTGCGAAGGTTTTAGCTTGTGTTGAGTGAAATGATGCCCGTAGTCGTGTGGTATTCCTTAGATCTATGTGTTTTTTTGGATTTATTTTTTGTGCTTGATATGGAATGTGGCACTGTGAAACCTGACGGAGCTATTACTTGTTTGAACTGTTATTAGAATGCTAGTTACTGCCGTCCGAGGTACCTGATCACTCGCTGGTATTAAGTGATACTGAAAACTTGAGCTTAAGTGTGCATTGTCATATAGATGCAACAATTTAAGAACACTCGTAGTAGCATTTACGAGTGGCAATCAGTACACATCCAATCGTCTGATCCATCGACATCCCTGTTCAACTGCTCCTCCTTGTTTATGATTGAAGCTAATTTATCATGTTTTCTCTCTTCCCTCTGCACCTCACTTTTGTTTGCGTACTTGTTTTGACTCTATTTCCACGTATATTCCAGGTTGATAGACTGCTTAAGGATGATGCGACCGAGGAGAAGGGAGAGCGTGCCAGGATGGTTAGTTCAAATCATTGCCCTTTCAATTCCTCCATCCTTGTCTCTGCAGTGCTATGCTATGACGCTACATCCATTTATGTCATGTGTTTCCTTGGGTCCTGCATCACCAAAATACTGCCTATAGAACAGCCAAACGCTCTCTAGTTCTTGGCTCTGGCTCATTCCTGATTATTTCACAACCAAAAACTCTATACCTGTTCTGTGTCCCAATGGTGACCAAGCTTTTCTGCCTTACTGGTTATGCTTTAATACTAATACTGATTGCTTTTGAAGCCACAGTATTACATTTACTGGTATATCCTATAAATTTCTCATTCGGAATTGGCGAATGTTCTGACTGACAGTAACGAAAATGGTTTAGACTCAAATGCTTTTTCAGGCAAGTCTTGCATGCTAACCTGTTTCTTATTTAGGCATCCTTTGTTGGTGGTATGGCAATCAGTGATTTGGTCAAGACAACGTTGGGGCCAAAAGGAATGGTATGCTCAAAAATCTAAAGCATCCTGGTTTTCTTCATTTATTTGCAAACTATCACCCCTGATATTGGCTCAAATTTTAATCTACTCATCAAGTGCCAAATTTGTAATCACATAACCGCCTTTCTATGTTCTATACTCAGGACAAGATCCTACAATCAACTGGCAGGGGACGCAGTGTGACTGTTACAAATGATGGTGCTACAATTCTGAAGTCTCTTCATATCGACAACCCAGCTGCTAAGGTCCTTGTTGGTATCCTTTAATTTGACCCTTTTTTATTGCTACACCGGTTAGGTAATATCACTGTTTTAAATCTCTGTTTCATATGTATGAAGTGTTTTTTACTTCATATTTTTGATAATTTATTGGATCTTCTTGTTGGCCAATCTTTATAATGCAAAAATAAAAAAAAGTTATTCCTTAATGTGGGCCTCAGACATCTCAAAAGTGCAAGATGACGAAGTAGGTGATGGAACTACTTCTGTTGTTGTTTTGGCTGGTGAGCTTTTGAGGGAAGCTGAAAAGTTGGTAAATATGAAGATACATCCAATGACAATCATTGCAGGTATATTTCAGTTCTACATGATCACCAGTATACTGATGCCACGTATTTACTGTTGACAATTAGACCACTCATGCTTAATCGGAGTTTAATTTGTCTTCTCACGGCATAAGTCCTCATCTAGATCATAATTAGAGTTGACTGTGCCCAAGAGAATCATGTGCAATGTAATGCATATGTTCCTCACTAGCAAGTTCGTAGTACTGTTACATTCTATTGCTCATGGGTTGTCTTCAATAAACAAAAAAGTTTTTTGCAAGAAGTTCATCCATGTTATGTAGACGTGTGATTGAGCATCACTTTCTGTACACATGGGTCAGATTAAACTTTTTATTTCCTGTCCAATGGATTTGTTTCACCAATTTCAGGGTTCAGGATGGCTGCTGAATGTGCTCGTGATGCTTTATTACAGAGGGCCATGGATAACAAGGAAGATTCAGGCTAGTTACATTTCCTTACGCATGTGGTTTATTGATTTAAACTGAAGATGTCCTATATATTTAATGTTTTGCCTCCTGGGATTTATGCATGGAAGTTTGCTCAAAAGATCTACCATTTATTGATTGCTTGTTTGTGTTCACAGTACATAATTTGTCTAGCACTCTAGCATCTCTTCCATAAATTGAATCACACCACTAATATTCAGCTTTTAATTCCATGTTACTGCAGATAAGTTTAGATCAGATCTGATGAACATTGCTATGACAACGTTGAGTTCAAAAATACTTTCCCAGGACAAGGAATACTTTGCTGGTCTTGCAGTTGATGCTGTTCTAAGACTTAAGGTACTGAAATTGTTAATGCTTTATACTATATATTTGCAGTTAGTTGTTTTGAACTTTTGATTTGTGACTGTTACTACATATTCTGCCGCTATATTGCCTTAAATACTTTTCATTATACCATCATTTAAGTCACTGCAGATTCTGATTTGTGTGTGCTACTACTGAATTGCAGGGCAGTACCAACTTGGAAGCAATTCAAATTCTTAAGAAAACTGGAGGGTCTCTAAAGGACTCCTTTTTGGATGAAGGGTATGTCAGAATTGTGTTTGACAATATTTAGGGAGAAAATTTCCTTCAGTATCCAACCTTTATTGACCCCAAACATCTGTTAGGTTCAAGAATAAAGTAGTACATGATATTTATTCATTGCAGACTAATTAAATTTTGAAATTATGTAAATCATCATATGTTGGAAGCAGCCATGAGCAGATCAAACTGAAGTCCTGCTCTTGAGGTGGCAATTTCATGATTTTTTTTCTTTTGTAGGTTCATTCTAGACAAGAAAATCGGTCTTGGCCAACCGAAGAGGATTGAAAACGCCAAGATTTTGGTTGCAAATACTGCTATGGACACCGACAAAGTTAAGATATATGGAGCACGTGTACGGGTTGATTCAATGGCTAAGGTTGCTGAAATTGAAGCTGCTGAAAAGCAAAAAATGAGAGAAAAAGTGCAAAAGATCATAGGTCATGGAATCAACTGTTTCGTTAACAGGCAGTTGATCTACAACTTCCCTGAGGAACTCTTTGCAGATGCTGGCATACTGGCAATCGAGCATGCTGATTTTGAGGGCATTGAGCGGCTTGCTCTTGTCACTGGTGGTGACATCGCCTCCACTTTTGATAACCCGGAGTCTGTCAAACTTGGTCATTGCAAGGTCATTGAAGAGATTATGATTGGGGAGGACAGGCTGATTCATTTCTCTGGGGTTGAAATGGGGCAAGCCTGTACTATTGTCCTCAGAGGAGCAAGGTATGCTCATGCCTATAGTTGGACTCTTTTTTCTTTACATTTATCTATATTCCATCTTGAGCTTGTGTTGACTGTGTGCTTTTACCTGCAGTGAGCATGTGCTTGATGAAGCAGAGAGGTCCCTGCACGATGCCTTATGTGTGCTTTCACAAACAGTGAACGACACCCGTGTGTTATATGGTGGTGGATGGCCTGAGATGGTTATGGCCAAAGAAGTAGATGGACTGGCGAGAAAGACACCTGGGAAGAAGTCCCATGCTATCGAAGCCTTCTCGCGCGCTCTTCAGTCCATTCCAACCATCATCGCTGACAATGCTGGTCTGGATAGCGCTGATCTGATCTCTCAGCTCAGAGCAGAGCATCACAAAGAGCAGAGCACTGCTGGAATTGATGTCATTTCTGGCGGCGTAAGTTTGCTAGTGCATATCAGAAGTTGCATTTACATTTGTTCTAGGGGTTGGAGCTGATACTAAGACTTCTTCCGCAGGTTGGAGACATGGAAAAGCTGGGGATATCAGAGTCGTTTAAGGCGAAGCAAGCTGTTCTTATGTCTGCTACCGAGGCAGCGGAGATGATTCTCAGGGTCGATGAGATCGTCACTTGTGCTCCACGGAGAAGGGAGGACAGGATGTGATGTGTCTGATATTTGTGTTCTAATCTGAGGGTGTTTGTTTTTTTGAAGTGTTTTGTATCAGGTCGTCTTGTAGACACATATGGGACGGCCGGGTCTGTATTATCATGAAAGCTTTGTCCTAACAGCGGAACACTTTGAATGGGATTCTTATTTGCAGCTTTACTCATGTGCGCTTGGCTCAAAATATGTTGGGTTTCGGTCTTGAGTATACATTCTATTGTACCATGTTATCTGTTTGGATCATCATTCTTTCTGTAATGAACATTACTCCCTTTGGTTGCACTTGGGCATGTCACATGTTTTGCTGACATGAGTTACACTTACACATCAAGCCATACTGAGCTAAGCATGGACCAAGGTCACTATCAATTGCATTCTTGGGACTCTTTGAGCTCTGCAGGCCTAGATGACTCAATCAATGTTCCATAGTTTCTTGTTTATCTGATCATTGATGAGCAGGTGCCTACTGTTGATTTGCAAAGGTAAGGATATAAGGAATGGTCCATACACATCATAGAGACATAATATGCAACACACAGGATAAAAGTACGAACGGAATTAAAAGAACTGTGCCTGGATAACGAACCATCAATCGACAACAATGGATGATACAACAAAACTGTTTCGGAGCATGCAAGCTAGAAGAACTAATCATGCAATGCACAAGCATTTACATGGAAATCATGATCCATCTCCAGCACTGACATATCACCGTCAAACAGTGTGCAATCCTCGTGCTGAATTGCTGACGGTGAGAAGCTAGGCTGGTTAAAAATAATACATCAGGTTTGCGAGGTTGCTCAACTTGCATTCTGCATATCAATGGCTTCGATGCTGTGTTCATCCAGCTCTTGGGAATAAAAATCAAACAAGAATCAAATTTGACTCAGTGTAACGCCGACATGAATATGGACATGAAACCTATAAGGATTTAGGGATGAAAACAAATGCTTGAATGAGAAGTGTTAACAACAACAACACGAATTTGGTTATGAAAGTAAATGCTAGAATAAAAAATCAACATGAATTCGGTTATGAATATGGTTTCGCCCATCTCCTCCCACTTCCCCGGCATTCTCTCCCAAACCACCCTAAGGCTGTGTTCTTCCCCACCTTCCCGAACTCACCTCCCTCGTGTTCTCCGTGCACGCTTTTCAAACTGTTAAACGGTGTGTTTTTTATAAAAGGTTTTTGTACGAAAGTTTCTTTAAAAACATTTTAATCCATTTTTTTTAAAAAAATAATATTAATTAATCATAAGAAAATATGTCGCTCCGTTTTGCGTGCGCAGGATGTGAGGTTCCAATCTCACCTCCCGAACACAGTGTTATTGTTCTTCTATTGCTCACCCTTCGTTGCTAGCCCCCAAAGCCTAATTAATCTGGCAAAGCTTGCTAGAGTTTGGTTGTCGAGGACGTTGAGGGGCTCTTCGAGGAAGTTGATGTCGTGCGGATTTAGTAGAATCTCACTTGACTGAACAGTAGCAAAAGTGATAAATAAATGCCAAAATTAACTAAAACCGACACAAATTTGGATAAGAAGATAAATGCTAGAACGACAACTATTTATAAAACCGACGTGGATTTAGACATGAAAAGTGAATGCTAAAACGACAAGTTTTTACAAAACTGACACGGATTTAAACATGAAAATAAACGCTAGAATAAGAATGACGGAGGGACTATCGATTCGGTATAAATGAACCCTCCATCACAACTAGTCACCAGCCATACCAATAGAGACGGAGCTCCTCTGACGTAAAGTTATAGAGACATGGAACCCTAACGGGTGGGGCCCATCTTTATAGGCCCACATGTCAGTGACCATGTCTCCTCAGACTTTAAGTCAGGGGAGCCTCTTCCTACCAACAGCTATCACCCTCTGAACAAATCAAGCTAACCCATCAGTTACAAGCACAGACAGTCGGTCTACTGATCCATGCAACAATTTTTGTCCCTTGCAAGTAAGCCTAATCCATGCAACATGCATGACTCAACTACACCTAATGGCATCGCATCCTGCCAATTTCTTTTTGTTGCTTCAGTTTCTTTTCCTTTTGTTGCACCGCTCGCTCCCTCCCTTCGTTTCCGCGCGCGCGGCCCAGCCCATCACATCACATGGCTCGTTCTCTTCAAACTGCCGTCTCGACGTGTCCTCCGGCCGCGCCGCCACCTGTCAGGCTCTTGTGGACGCTGCCCTCGCCGTCGGAAGCGCTCTCCTCCTCCTCCGCCGCCGCAACCGCCGCCGCCGCGGCGACCTTCTTGGCCTTGGCGTACTCGCCGTAGAGGTAGGAGGAGAAGCCCCAGGCGCAGAGCGCGGTGGCGAGGGCCTTCTCCGCGCCGAACGGGTCGCCGAACACGGCGACGCCGCCGAGTACGTTGAGGGTGAGCACGGCGGCCATGCAGACGCCGCTGTGGAGCGACGAGGTGAGGTAGATCACGCCGGCGGTGCCCATGAAGCACGCCTGCCACGTCAGCACCAGCGTCGCCACCACCGCCCAGTACACCGCCGGCGAGGACCCGCCGTCCACCCAGCCGGACACGTCGTCCGCCACGCCGCCCGACGCCGCCAGCCCCACCGCCGCGATGAGCGACGCCATCGCCTGCATCACCGCCTGCACCTCCACGGCCAGGACGAACCCCCCGGAGACGGCCTCGCGGTACACCAGCTCCATCACCGGCAGGTACGCCGAGAAGAGCCCCGCGGCGCCCAGCGTGACGACGAACCCGACGAGGTAGCTCTTCCTGCCGCCGCCGCCGACGCCGCCCTCCGCCGTCTCACCGGAGTCCCCCGACCGGAGCGCGAGGAGCACCGAGCTGAGCGTCAGCAGCACGACGGCATTGAGGTTCACGAAGGTGACCGGGTGGCGGACGATGACGACGGCGAGCACCAGCGTGAACGCGAGCTGCGTCGACAGCAGCAGCGACGACGTCGACACGGGGAGGAGCGACGTGCTGTACGCGAAGAGCAGGTTGTTGGCCCCCATCAGGGCGCCGATGACGAGGCAGACGGCGAGGAACCGCCGCGACAGCCACGTGAACGGCCGCGGCGCCGACGCCGGCCGGCCGCCGGCGAGCGCGCCGGCGACCAGCAGCGGGAACCCCGCCGACTGCACCAGCGTCACCACCCACCGGTTCCGCCCGCCGTGCGTGAAGTAGAACCTCGACAGCAGGCTCGACGCCACCGACCCCACCAGCAGCGCCGCGTAGTTCGCCATTAGGAGCAGCATCCTGCGCCGGCGAGGCCCCGCCATGGCGGCGGCGACGGCGGCGGCGATTGCCATCGTTATCGGCGAGGAGGAGGAGGAGGAGTGTGTAGGCGGCGATGGCGATGTGAGTCTCCACTTATTTATGCAGATGATGAGATGAGAGGGGATAAAATGGCGTATTATATAATAGATGATTTTTTTTCTTCCAAAGTTTGACTCCTTTTGCATTTTCAGGTTCTACGCCTTTCGTTTTCAAACAAAATTAAAAGTAGCAAATTGAAACTGAAAAAAATAATCAAGGTGACTGGTTTGTCTACAAAAGAAGACGGAATTTAATTGCTAGAGACCATGATCGGGATATGAGATACATGAATGTGCTGTTCATGAGTAGGTCGTTCTAAAAATGGAGTAAATTAAACCATACTTAATTATGGCTACAAATTGATAATAAATGGTCAGTATAGCATATCTCTTTATCATTCTGGTGAATTAATTGATATAGATTCCAATGCATCCGTTGATGATAATAAGATGATGATTACAGAGAATGTTTTCATCCCTCGAGGGTACAAAACAAGTCCTATAAGCAGAAGTCCCATTTGAAAGACAAGAAATTCTCCTCGATTCATATGTATGTGAACCGAATTTTACAATCCACCAGTTCATGTCTGATTTATCTGCACCATCCAAACTAACCAAATGCAGCAAAGTGATCAGAATGCCAGCCCAGTAGTAATTAATCCGCAGTAAAAATCCAGCTGCATTTTACGCTGACCCGATCTGCGTCTGTTTGCTCTGCCCGCATTTGCTGGCAAGTGGATGACAACGACGACATGCCGGCTGGCCGGCCGGCCCGGCGCGCGGCGACTCGCCGGAATGCAAGCAAGCAAGCACGGACGTTAAAGCTAGCTATATATCCAGCCGAGCACGCACCCCAAAACGAGAACTGAATAACTGAACCGTTCTTGTGTGTGGGTTTTTGTTATAAAAGTTAGTCCAAATTGCGGAAGACTCTTGTTAGCCATTGATCAACCCCAGACATAACAAACCACGACATATATATACTAGAATTTATTAATGATATTTAGCCGAAACATATACTCACAAGACTCGGATTATATATAGGTGTTTCTCTTCGATTAAAATAGCACGTGTTATAGTGTGTCACGTGTTTGGATCACTTATGATATTCTTTCGGGTTCAGCTTCTAATATATGTATCGGTGCCGATTTTTGTAACAGTTTTCTCCGAAAATCAGGCTAGATCGAGATCGAGCTATAGCTAGCTACCGAATCGAGCTTGACACTTGTCATGGCAACCAGCGGATGCGACCAGGAGTGATCGAGGACGAAACGGCCCAAGAAAACGAGGAGATCACTATGACTCCTCCTAGCTAGCTGCTCCAGATCACTACACGATATATATGTCTGTGTCTTATCTGATGACGACGACCTGCCTCCAGCTAGCTAGCTAACAACCTCCATGGATATATTGCGTCTCAAGTATGCTACATTTGGGCATGCAAGGCATGTGCTAAGCTGTCCGAAACGTTCAAGATTACTTAAGGGTTTTTTTTTCAATAGCTAAATGATTTGTGATAAATATTCAAAGGTACAAACAAATAAATTAGGTATTAGAAGATTGAAAATGGATTTAAGAAGATTTTCCAATAAAAAAATCATATATAGAAAGTTTTTGCAGAAAAAATGTATCATTTATGAGATCGGAAAACATGTCGCCATTCCATTCCATTCCCACTCAGAGGAAAAAGAACAGGCATATCAATCTATATATAGGGAGTGGATTTTGATCTCTCGAGGCAATGTTGAAACTTGCATATTTGTGGAGTGATATATCACATGTTAATACATCTTCTTCTTTTTTTTAATTTTTTTCATAACCATTTGAGTGACATTCAAACAACAAGGTGACATTCTCTCGAGGGATCAAAATAGTTTCCCTGGGTTTGTTTGTTCTAAAATATATAAATCTGTAAGATTTATCGCCCAACGTATCGTGTGATGATGTGATCCATATACCCTTTCATGGTTTTGGCCATATGAATAGCATGGTTTTCTGAAGATCACGTTCAGGGAACAGCTTGTCGAGCCTTTCTTGGATATGCAGTACGGACGCGCTGAGAAATTGAGAACCAAGCTAGCTGCTCTTTCACTGGTTCAACACGTCACGGCTTACAAATTGAGACGCCGATCTTTTTTCTCTCAAAAAGGAAAATTACATGGAACTAACCTGATCAGATGGACGTCTACATCTGCTACTATAGTACTTAAGATGGAAACTGCAGGATAATGAATGCATTACAGTAGTAGTTCAGTCATAATTCAGAAACCTTCATGTTTCTTCCAAGTTTCCAAGTTGGTGCTCATGTAATTATCCTAGCACAGTAAGTAGATTGCGCAGCGATTCTCTCTGCTGTGCCATTCGGATATGCACAGAGAAATTTATATGAAGAAATTGGGATCAGGTCCGAGAATTATTTGCGTCAATTTCAAATATATATCTGAATGTTCTGAACTTGACAAATTCTACAACAGACTGAGATCATGCATAAGTCATAAGAGAGCATACAAAGCCACGTAGGATTGATTGCTTATCTGTATTCTTCTAGGCCCTTACAAGGGGTTGCAACACTGCAGCAACCAAGAAACATAGTACAGTACGCTGATCAGAACTCAGAAGTTCATAATCAACATTCCCTAGTACTGCTGCATGTCTGCAAGTATGGCAGAAAGCCAGAAATGCACATAGCTCAAGGATAATATGGACGAACTGTAGTATGATTGGCGCCATCATTCATGCAGCAGAAATGCATCCATCTTAAGGTTGGCCATTAGCCATTCACTAGCTAGCTACCTATGCACACATGCAGAACTGCAGATAGATAGAAAGATAAATCCATCAGGAAATTCAGGATAGATAGAGTAGATAGCTAGCCAGTGGCAGTACTTTCAGGAAGATTTAGCCGGCTAGCTGCTCGATCGATCTGTCTACTTCTAATTGGGATGATAGATGCGTGTTCTTAATCCATGCAATTGGCGTCTGACAACAAGAGATAGCGCGTGCTGTATTTTTTCTGTGTGATTAGAGAGAGAATAAAGTGAGTGTGATTGGAGCCTAATAATTGCATTTGACATCAAAGTAAGCACTAGGTTGACTATTGCTGTGGACCTGCAAGTGTTAGGAGTACTGTTCTTCTCCAATGGGTGATAAGAGTATTTCCTTTTCAATCGCTATATAATTTTTTCGAGATAACAACAGCAGAACACACCACATGCACACCTGGTTAGGAGGGGATTAGACCAATCCGTTCCGGTTAAAAATTTGAGTTCATAGTCCAACATTAATCAAACCAAATTTCACTATTTAGAGTTGTGTTTAGCCGCGGTAGTTTTCTAAGCTTCAGTTTTCTTGTTTTTCTATTTTGCTTTTTCTCTCTTCCCCTGGCATAAACCGGTCTGGCTGGTTGCGTTGTGTAATAAAAACTATTTTCTTCTAATATATTGACGTGCAATCCTTTTACGCGTTCGCGAAAAATTGAGCAAACTAAATTCTAAAATTTCAGAAGGGGATAAAATACCCTTCTCTAAAAAAATAAAAAAAATTCACCTGAGGCATTTCGCAACAAAAATGGAAACTAACTTAGCATTCGGCCCAATATAGGCCTTGTTTGGGTGGGCATCAATCTAGACCCAGTCCACGTACGTGGGGCTAGGTCTATAGACCTGGATGGGCCGGGATTTTGGACTATCCAAATAAGTCCTTCTAAAGTTGGGCCGAAGAGAAACTAAAAAAGGCCCAAATGTGGACTAATAACACTAGCACCCCTACCAGGCCGGAAAGCCCACTCCGCGTGTGGAATTCATAGCGAAGCCCAACGTGTCACTCCGTTAGCAGCAACGAGACCCCGAAACCCTAAGCCTCACCTATATAATGCTCCACCACGCCGCCACGCGCTCGATTTCACTCGCCGCCGCCGCCGCCGCCTCCCTACTCTCTGCCGCCGCCGTCGCCGCCGCTTGCTCCGTACTCCTCCTCTTCAGCGGCGATGAAGGGACGGCAAGGCCAGCGCGTGAGGCTGTACGTCCGCGGCACCATCCTCGGCTACAAGAGGTGACAGCTCGCTCTCCCCCTGCGTGGCGTCTCCGCCTTCTCCGTCATCGCCGCGGTGGAGTGGTGTTGATCTTGGTTTGGCGTTGATTTGCTCGCGCAGGTCGAAGTCGAACCAGTACGAGAACACGTCGCTGCTGCAGATCGAGGGGGTGAACACCAAGGAGGAGGTTGGGTGGTACGCCGGGAAGCGCATCGCCTACGTCTACAAGGCCAAGACGAAGAGCAACGACTCCACCATCCGCTGCATCTGGGGCAAGGTCACCCGCCCGCACGGCAACTCCGGTGTCGTCCGCGCCAAGTTCCGGTCCAACCTCCCGCCCACCTCCATGGTGAATCTCGCTCTCACCGTCGTCTGCGCCATCATTTGATCCAGTCCATTCCGCTCCTGATTGTAGTTTTGGCCATTTCTGATGTTTTTGTTGGGTCGATATGGTGGTGCAGGGCAAGAAGGTCCGCGTCTTCATGTACCCCAGCAGCATCTAAAAGCATCCAAGGTACTTAGTTTCACTGGTTTTAATCTTTTACAGTGATGCATTATTGCCTATTGCTTCCCGTCATGTTGTATACTGTTCATTGAATCATCTAGCTCGTGGGGTCAGTCAGAATCTTATGCAATCGTCCATGAATTCAGTATTCGTAACAGTTGTTGCCTAATTAGATGGAATGGTGCATTGTTAGGTTCTGGTGTGAGTGATCGTTATGTTTGTGTGTAAGGGCTCCATGCCAATGGGGGAAGCTCTTCTGCTAGCTTCGAAATACCTGCAGGTTCTCTGCGGGGTGCTGATAAAATTCAGCGGTCTCATAGTGCGAGGCTGTGCTTTGGTTGATGGGCCTCTCATCAACCTGTTTGTCACAACCTTGCCTCCAATGACCTCTACATGTATCAATCTAATATTGTCAGTGTTTTACTGTTCACAAGCGTTCATGTGGGTAGAGTGACATATAGCGAACTCGAGGGTTATAAACTAATGTGTTACACTATATGCTTTGCCGTTTAGTTGATCTAGGTTCCTTTCATACTTTGTCATTGTTTAGGAGTCCCAATCCAGGTCGGGATCATGGCCCCATCCTAACTTAACAGAATTGGGGTGGCAGGAGGAATTTACTGGGATCCCTGGGATGGTTTCAGGCTTCCAGTTGTTTGTGGAAAGGTCTGGGTTTTTTGCCCGATGATGTATACATACATGTAGGAATTGCGAGCTTAGCATTGGAAGATGAAAACGCCAATTACTATCTATTAGCTGACAGTCAAGTTGTGTCCTGGTTGACTAGACAGTCAAGTTTCAGCTCATTCCTAGTGGAACAGGGACCATTTTTTTTTGGGGGGGTATTGTGGTATTAAAGAAACCTACAGTATGGGATTTCTTCATGTTTTTGTGACTTTATGTTGATGTTGATACTGTCTTCAGAGCATAATGCACTTTGCATGGTTAAAATATATTTTGATATCATTGTTTTTTTGCCTATCTCCCTATTGCATAACAAGTCAAAAGTTTGAAAACTAACAATAATTTCACTTTTTAACTGAAACAGGTTTCTTGCCTATGCTGCGAAACTGATAGTTGTCACCGTGGAGGGTTTTATATCAGCTAGTCACTTGGTTAACCAGTCAGAAATTTAAGCGGTTTTGAGGAGTTTTAGCTTTTCTTTTTATTTCGGACTATTTGCTGTATCATGATGACAATTATTTGAAGGCTTTTTAGCGGATTTGAAGCTACAGAGGTTTAGCATTTGTATCGTGATCTCAGCCGTTTGATATCGTATCTGTATATCTAAATTTGGTTGGCACTGCTCGTTGAGTATATTTGAAAATGATAGGCAGATGGATTCAGTGGTTCAGATATCTGGTGTCCAATCGAGAAGGTGGTCATTTAGACGGACAGAGTGCCGGTACCTGATTTTTCTGCTGATTGCTTAGTCATGACACAGCACAAATGCTGGTGCCATTGCTGTAGTACTCCCTATAATGCTGGAGTATTTCCGAAGAGAAATGTACGCCCTATAATCAGGGATTCCCTAGTGTTTACACTTAAATCTAAATGAGCGGCGATGATATTTTGTTGAATCTGACTGATTGTTGATGCAAAACACGGTGGTCTTTGAAGATTTGCTTTACTCTAGTGTAGGTCCTAACAATAAATGAAATTAGATAAACGCGTTAGAATATTTACGATGAATTGAACAAAACAAAGTGCGTTAGGATCTTTATGATGAATTGAACAAAACAAAGCCCTGAGTATGTTCCATCGACTGTAAAATTAATCATGTAAGTTAATAAATCAATATTATGAAAACTAGTCGATGATTCAATATTTAGAGCATAAAGATAATGTATTGGCTATTATTTTAATACAAACTTATATAAAAGTGTTTTATATAAAAGTGTTGACCAAGTCAAATATGCCAAATAAGGCCCAATCCCCAACATGATGATCTGGCCTGAGATTGAATCATACTTATATATTTGAAAAGATCAATTATCTCATATAAGTGGCAGACACAATACGTAGCAAGTTAAAAGGTACGCTAAAATAAATATATCAGGTAAAATTGGTTGAAACTTCGATAATATTGTTATTCTTGATCAATTTTAGGTTAGGTTTTAGGGTTATAGATAGGACTAAGGTTGATGTAACTCAAAGTATGTAGAGAAATCTAAAACCGATCTTAGCTGATATGGTCAAATTGAAGTGCTAAGCTAGATTAATTAATATATATGATAGAAAATCATAAGTGCACATAGCTCAAGGATAATTATCGACGAAATGTAGTATGATTGGCGCCATCATTCATGCAGCAGAAATGCCATCCATCTTAAGGTTGGCCATTAACCATTCACTAGCTAGCTACCTATGTACGCATGCAGAACTGCAGATAGATAATCCATCAGGAAATTCAGGATAGATAGAGTAGATAGCTAGCCGGCAGTACTTTCTGGAAGAATTAACCGGCTAGCTGCTCGACCGATCTGCCTACATCTAATTGGGATGATAGATGTGTGTTCTTCATCCATTCGGCGTCTGACAGCAAGAGATAGCGCGTGCTGTGTGTGTTTTTCTGTGTGATTAGGGAGAGAATAAAGTGAGTGTGATTGGAGCCTAATAATTGCAGTTAACATCAAGTAAGCACTAGGTTGACTATTGCTGTGGACCTGCAAGCAAGTGTTACTGTTCTTCTCCGATTTGGTGATAAAAGTATTTCCTTTTCAATCGCTATATATTTTTTTTCGAGATAACAACAGCAGAACACACCGCACGCACACGTATGCAAGGCGCAATTACAAGTGTGAGTCTGGATAGGTGGGGATTAGACGAATCCGTTCCGATTAAAAATTTTACTCATAGTCCCATATTACTTCCTCCGTTTTACAATTTAAGTCATTCCTAGTATTTTTTAAAAATAAAAATTAAAGATGTTTTTGCCGGTACTTTGGTACCTCATCCATGTATAAGTCGGTTTTTATGTTAATTCGCTTTTGGAAATACATATCCGGATTTGAGTCAGTTTTCAATTTCGTTCACTTTTGAAAATATAGGAGTCATCCAAGCGAAGGGCCTGTTCACTTTGATGCAAAAAAAAAAAAAAACTTTACCAAATTTTGGCAATCCAAAATTTTAGCATAGTTGCCAAAATTTTGGTAACTTGCCAAAATTTTGGCAGGATTTCTTATATAATTACCAAAATTTGGCAACAAACTAAATGTAGCCATTTTTTTGATAACTTTACCAAAACTTGGTAAGATTGAAAATGGCATCAAAGTGAACAGACCCGAATTCTCACTATGAATTTCATCTTAACTAAACCATATAACAATAATAATATTAAAATAGTTTTTACCCGTTGCAACGCACCGGCTTTTTTCTAGTTATTAAACAAACCAAATTCGTACTAAAATTTCAGGAAAAATCACCTGAGGGCATTTCACAATCAAACAAAAGAAAACTAACATATACAGAACTCCAATAGTGGGAAGATTTTCGTCCAATAGCATTCGGCTTAATCTAGGCCTTGTTTGTGTGGGCCTCAATCTAGACCCAGTCCACCTATGTGGGACTAGGCCTACAGACCTGGATGGGCCGGTATTTTGGACAATCCAAACAAGTCCTTGTAATACTAGGCCGATGAGAAACTAAAAGGGCCCAACTGTGGAAGGCCCTACCAGGCCGGAAGGCCCACCTCCGCTTATGGAATTCATAGCGAAAGCCCAACGTGTCACTTCGCCAGCAGCAACGTGACCCCGAAACCCTAAAACTCACCTATATAAAGCTCCACCACGCCGCCACCCTCTCGAGTTCGCTCGCAGCCGCCGCCGCCGCCTCTCTCACTGCCGCCGCCGCCGCCTGCCTCGTACTCCAACTCTTCGGCGACTAGATGGTACGATCTCCTCTCCCCGTACCTACGTCCTCTCCAATCCTTCGCGTGCACTCGGATTTCCCCTTCGTATCAACTCGTTGTCTCGCTGTGCTGATTGAATCATCCTGACCCTTTTCGGTTTAGTTGTAGCTTTGTTCAGCGCAATGGGAATATGTCGTTCCGGTTAGATTTTAGGAGGAATTTGCTGTTCCTGTTTGATTTTAGGAGGTTTTGGTTTGTGCCGGTAGAATGTCCTCGTTGGGAGTCGTGTGAGATCTTGCTGTTGACGCTTTTTCGTGGCCAACACAAGATCACCTAACGATTTCGTGGTACAAACACTTGCGTGATGCTTCCGTTGTATTTCGCCCTTGTAGTTCTTGATACGAATTCTATCACTGTGAGATCCCCCGCTGTATTATTACCTGATGAACTGGTGTTGCCGTCTTCCTGTTGTTAAAGTGACAATTTCTGCCTTCCAAATTATTAGTTGGAGTGGGTTGATTAATAAAGTGCATGATCATTACCTCAAATTATGCACCATTAAACACTTTAGCTTGTTAAGCTTCCTTTGAGGCCAACTGCCATGTGCCGATGTTTCCATTGGTACTGCATGATCAGTTAATATACTGTTTTGGATAATACTTATAGTAGAGTGGGGTTTCTTATTAGCACAAGTTCTTTCTGCTCTACTGTGGAAATGTCATGTGTTTTAAGTATATACAAGTTATACTTTCCAAGTATTTTTAGTACAGAGTGGGGTTGTCTGCAATCATCACCATACGTAAAAGTGGACTGTACCATTAACTATGCTTGTGCTCTGTTTAAGTCTTGTTTGTGATGTTTGTGCAGACGAAGCGCACCAAGAAGGCAGGAATCGTTGGCAAATATGGTAATGACATTGTAACTGTGCACACTGTTAGTTCATAGCATCATGAATGTCTGATCACTCATGTTAACATATGCCCTTGTAATATCAATGTTATACAGGTACCAGGTATGGTGCCAGTTTGCGTAAGCAGATCAAGAAGATGGAGGTTTCCCAGCACTCCAAGTACTTCTGCGAGTTCTGTGGCAAGGTAATTCTTCCAAGGATATTAATGATTACTTGTCAGCAAGATGCTTTAAGTGTCTTTGGGTTTGCTTGACTGTATTATGATGTGTCATGCTTGTTGTCATATGACTATCCTAAAAGCAGCACAATATTCAAAATAATCATATCTGGTTTTGTTCTGCTGTGGTTTGTTTCTTGCATGACCTCTGGTTAGAGGGAACTTGAATAGCACCATACCTTCAAATTTGCGTAGTGCTGACCATGCTACTCTACATCACTTGCTTAATATTTAGTTATTAGTTTTTTAGGTTAGGTTAAGTATTCCTCTTTGCAATTCATTTCAACTATCTAGATAATCAAACAGTAAATAACAGCCTCTGATTATGCAATATGCTCACTATCTACAATGTTTTCCCTCTTAATCAGTGTGTTGTTCTGTATTACCTTTGTTTTCTATTTTATCTGCATTGTTTCTGTATAATCGCTTCTTGCTAACCATGTCTACTGCTATTCCTGATTCACAGTTTGCTGTGAAGAGGAAAGCAGTTGGAATCTGGGGATGCAAGGACTGTGGCAAGGTCAAGGCTGGTGGTGCCTACACCATGAAGTAAGTGTGGTGTTTTGTAAGGTGCACCGTCCACTATTATGTTTCCTAACTTTGTTATTACGCTCTTCCAGCACTGCCAGTGCGGTCACGGTCAGAAGCACAATCCGTCGCCTGAGGGAGCAGACAGAAGCCTGATCAGGATCTGTTTGAGAAAGTGTTCTTGGAGTTCTATCAAGACTGGTGAAGTTGCCATTTTGCATATTTAGCTAAAAAGAGAAATCTAGAATGTTATCTATCTATTTGTAGATGGAATATCTGTCCGCATTGTGTACTTGATTTCCCAAGCTAATTTTATCAAATGCGAGCACTTGATTTGCGATCCAGATTCTTAATTCTCTGAACAAATGCGAGCATTTCCAAGATTTGCCATCCTGATTCTTAGTTCTGTGAACAAATGCCTGATAGCCGCTCATCATTTTGCTTCTGAATACTTTGCCTTGATGTTCATAAACGTTGTGAAGTTCTCTAATACCCTAACTTGCTTTTCTGATGTTTATATGAAACGTTGTGAAGTTCTCTAAATCATTTACATGCATCCCCTAAAATGCCATTCGTCATTTCTGCTTGCAAAACATTTCCATTCGCTGTACGCACATTCCTGCCCCCCCCCCCCCCCCTCCTCTTTTTTTTTGTTTCTTTGAGAACCCGTTGCATTAACACTTTTTAATTAATACGATCGCAAAATCACCAATTACAATAATTGAATAATATCTGCATCAATAGACTGTTCATTGGGTGCAGCTCGTCTGCCTGAACCTGAGCCACCGATTGTTGAGGTCGAACTCCCAGAGGTGCTCCTGCTGCAGGATGTTGCCGATCACGGACACCCCCGGCCACGCCCCCTCCTGCACCCCGATGCACTTCACGCCGGGCGCCGCGTCGATCACGTAGCTCTTCGCCGGCGGCTCCAGCCTCGCCGACCCGGCGAACTGCACCGCCAGCTTCGGCACGGCGAGGTCGCCGCCGCCGTCGCCGCGGGCCGTCCAGTTGTAGCAGTAGTCGAACGGGTCCATGGCCACGCGCGGCAGCCCGGCGAGCTGCTCGCTCAGCGCCGCCACCACCGCCTTGTACGCCGGCGTGGCGAGCACCGTCAGGCTCGTGCCGGAGTCGATGATGGTGCCGCCGTTGCTGCCGACGTCCCACACCTCGGCTGGGATGTCGAGCGCCACGCCGTCGACGGAGACAGAGTCGACCGCCACGGCGTAGAAGGGGCGGACGCGGGCGTCGAGCAGCAGCGGCGTCCGCGAGCCCGGCGCCGGCGCCGACGACGACGCCGCGTCCGGGCCGGCGCCGAAGGTGAGGTAGCTGGTGGCGTTGCGCGGGGCGAGGTGGTCGACGAGGCAGTAGGAGAAGCGGCCGCCGAACCGCGACGCGGCGCGCGACGCGAACGAGATGTTGCTGTAGCCGAGGCTGAGCACGCCGTCGGACGCCTCGAACCCCTGGCCGGCGTGCGCCGTGGTGCACCCCAGCACCACCCCCTGCAGCTTCGCCTTCCGGTCGCCGCCGCCGCCGCCGCCGCGCCCGCCGGAGAGCGCCACCGTCGCCGAGTCGGTGCCCACCACGCCGCGCGCCGCCGAGTTGTCGTTGTAACTGCCCACCACCAACGCGTTAGCCACCGTTAGTTAAGATCCATGCACATGCTAAGATTCGTGCGCTAAATTACACACACAAAAAAAAAAACTGCCAAACTTTAGAACTAATGAGTAATAATATTTTTAGCCCAAAATGTACACTTGGTTACTACTAGATTAGAACTGATCGTGATATGACTTTGGGACCTGGCTTTTCTACAAAGAACCGGCTTGTAAGTTACTCATCTTCTACATGATCTGTATCAGAATCATGGAACAGGTAAGACATATCTTTTCATGAACTGTAAAGCACAGGGAAAAGACTAGCCGAGATTGCAGCGTTATCTCGGCAGCTCATTCACATCGTCTACGCCGGCCAAGTGATGACCAGTCTGTCGTCGACAAAGAACAGTAAGGTGAATGAATCTGACTGGCAGTATCAACATCATGAAGTCGGTATAATTAGTTATTTATTATGCCTTTTAACCTTAAAAATTCAAGATAAGCATCCAGCAAAGGAGAGCAGAACGGTAGTACTCCTGACTCCTGAGCAGTAGCTTTGCCGTTTTCATATTTGGAGTTGGGTTATTCTAGGAGTACTAGCTAGTACAGCCACTGCAGTTAGTGTAAAACAGCTGCAAACTATTAAAAAAAACTCAGTTGGATATACAGAGATCATACAGAACATGGCCACAATTTGGATATGGTCAGTCAGACAGGTTGAATTAACTGCTAACGTGCCTGGTTTAGTACACCGGCTAACTTTGGGTTTAAGGTAACCGTTACACTATTATACGACAGTGATATATAGGTCGTTCACGACGGTCAGAGCAAACTGCAAAGGTTGGCAATTCAATACGGGCTTCAGTCAATCAGCCGCGTTTACAGTTGCAGCATTTCTCTGAATATTTCCTGCTCCGTTCTCCGCGACGCGTGCAGAGCCCGAGGCGCTGCGTACGGCGCGCACATGGCGCGCGCCCCCGGCCGCCCACTGCCCACTGTTCGGTGCGCGGTGTCGCGCGCCAACTCGCCCCACTTGCGCTTCCGGGGACGAGAAGCGACAGCGCATCGGCGCTCGCGAACGCGAACGCGCGACCAGCCGTAGCCGATCGTGCGGCGACGTGCCCGGCGCGGCGCGCGCGCGCTCTCGCCACGCCACGCCACGCCGCGGCGCGGCGTCGTGCGCGGCCAGCAGATGAGCTCAGTAAATGTGTGACATTAAAATCGGGCTCAGCTCCGACCAAGAAGACCATAAAAAAAGTCACGCGAAAATTACTGCAGATTGCAGAGTACCACGCTCCGTACGAGCTGTCGTGCTACTGTAGAACTAGGACTACTCCTGCTTGCTTCAGCTGCGCGCAGTTAATGGGGTTTCGATCAGCGCAGCAGCAGATGGAGACGAAGGAAAAAACCCGCGAAATTTATGGCGCGCAAGCGAGATCCCGACCCACCCAACAACCCGGCACTTACTACGGCTGCGCTGCACACGCACGCACGAGCCACGAGCACGAGGATCACTGCATTGTGAGATGAGATCTACGCGCGCGTCAATGGAGATGGAATCATGGCAATGGCAATGGCAATGGCGAGGAGAGGAGAGGATACTGACCGGTAGTCGTAGGAGCAGGCGGCGGTGGAGCTGGAGCAGTTGGCGAGGGAGAAGGGGATGGTCGACTTGCACGTCTCCGACGAGCACGGGATGGGCGACCACGTCTTGGAGTCGCCGGGACGGAACACCCGTGGCGGCGCCACCGCCGGAGACGGCGCCGCCGCTGGCGAGGCGGTGGCGGTGGCGTGACTGGGAGAGGCGGCGCCGCGGCACTTGACCCAGGTGAGGTCGCTGCCGGTGTCGGCGATGAGGACGAACGGCTGCGCCGGGGTGCCCACGCGGAACCGCACGAAGTACTGCCCCGTGCCGGTGTACGCCCCCGACGACAGCGGCATAGCGAACGCCGACGCCGCCACCGCCCCGGCCGACGACACCGACGAGGTCTCCTCCGCTCGCCGCCGCCGCCGCGACGCCGCGAGCCTGGCGGAGATGTACTCGTGCCGCCGCCTGTCATCCCTCGCCCGCTCGGCCATCGACGCGCCCGGGGCAGCCGGGACCAGCTGCAGCCTCGCCGACTTGCCCGGGCGTCCGCGACTGTGCCCCCCACCGCTCGCCGCCGACGCCGCCGCCGCCGCCACGGCGAGACAAACCACGACCATCAACACCACCTTCCCGCGCGCCATTCCTCCTTCCTCCTCGCCCGATCACCTCACGTCGTCCCCAATGCGCGAGGCGACGCACAAGAAGAAACCAAGAAACGCACGCAGCTCCTGCTCCTGCTCCCTCCTCCTAGACCACGACACGAGCTGCCATTGTCGCCGTCGCGCTTTGCCGAGACACACTGCAGCAATCAAACACTCGGCGGCTGCTCTGCTCTGCTTCGAAATGGAGGAGGAGATTTTCAGCTGCGGCTAGCTAAGCGGAGGCCGCTTTTTGGCTGTGTCCGGCACGGCGATGGAGGAGGACGAGACGACGTCGTCTTTTATAAAAGCCGACCTGCCGTGCAGCGGCTACTGATGATCATGGATAGAACGCGCTTCTGCGGCGGTCGGTTTTATGCGTGCTGCGTTGGCAGATCGCCTCCGGTTCATACTCCTATCCAATTTTTTATATAAATTTTTGCATGGAGTAAAATAATTTCTTCACATAGTAAAGGGTACTGTATGCTACTTTTAAATAGATTTGCGAAATTTCCGTTGATAGAAATTAGCAGGAGAAAGAACCCATGACCTCCTGTTCGTAAACATGTTTTGTTAGTTATGTGTAAGTTATATATGTATAAGTTATTACAGTATATTTACACTATTAAGCCCATCGTTTAAGCCTATCGTTTGCACTTTAGCCTTCAACTTATAAGCATAAGTAAAATTTTAAAACACAATTTTGGGGTTAATTTTAGGTTTTTTTATTGTAGTTTATTTTTTTTATTTGTTTTAAGTCACTAAAACCATTTATATAAAGTTTTACCTATAAATTATTTTTAATCACTAATAAGTTGATTCACTTATAGTGAGTATACAAGTTTTCAATGGATATTTTTCCCATGATACCATAGTTATATTTGAATGATTTTGAAGTTTTTTTTTTTCAAAAGTTGTATAGCTCCTTAAATTGTATAACTATTTGGCTGCCGGTTTCTTATTTTTTACATAGCAAGGGATAATTTTTTTTATTTCTTGAGGAGTATAATACAATTTTCTACATGGTAAAGAATTCACTATTCTTAAACATCCGTGTATAATTGGGTGAATATTCATTGGTGACTGTATATTGCTGCCGTTTTTATCACGAAATTAATTTAGACGCACGGCCTCATCTTTTCGCTTATGCTTATACTTATCAGCCAAAATTTGAATTTTCAACCTTAGATTTGAAGTTGATTTTAGGATTTTTTTCATCGAAGTTTATTTTTTTAGACTTTTCTTTTAGGTTACTAACAATACGTATATAAAATTTTATTCACAAATTATTTTTCGTTTGTAAATATGTCATATAAGTGAAACGATGGAGCCGAAAGTTCTGTGCCGACCCAGCAGGAGAGGATCAATCACGATCTCACCCGCCGGATGTTGCTGTGCAATTAACCGATGATTATTCCAATCACAAACCATCGATGATTCTTCCATTCCGATCGAACTGTTCTGATCTCTCACGGATCAGAACGCGCCGCATGGCCACATGGGAGTGACATGTCACTTGATTTTCTGGTGGTGTGTATATAAACTCACTGATTTTCAACAAACACAACCATAATGTCCCAATCAAATCAAATCACAGGCCTGGAAAATCTCGGAATAACGCTGAACCCTGCACGCCATCTCACTACCAGCCGTGCCGGCCATCCGTTGCCGATCCAGTGAAGCATGCACACGTACGTTCTACTACGTTGCCGATTTTGATCTAATCTAATTTTCTATCCACCTCTTAAGGAAATAAATGCTATGTTTAGATCCAAACTTCAATCATTTTATATCACATCAACCAGTCATACACATAACTTTTTAGTCACATCATCTCCAATTTTAACCAAAATCTAAACTTTGGATCCAACTAAACACAGAGCCAACTAGGAAAGTACAAAATGTTTTTTTCTCATACTGTTGCCACGTGGCAGTTTAGGTATTGGATTGGTCCACGTGGCCGTGTTTTTGCTGATGCGTGTGGACAGAGTGAGGAGGTGGATGGATGGATGGCCGGTGCACGTCATCGCCTTTTGTGACGACACGTTCGAGTATGATGCGTGCCATGGATGGCCAAATTATTTCTCCGGATATCGCGAACGGATCAACGGAGAAAATAGTTTGGAGAGATCGTTCGATCGATCGATCGGCATCAGCATCATCAGCATCGCGACGACATAATGGCCCATGCAACGCAACGCATGCATGCAGTGATGATGCAGAGTCGTGTAGGATCATGATGGCGATCGGCGAAAGCAGCCGGGCCGCCGTCGAGTCGTTCGGGCCCGCGCCGGTGGCCGGTGGTGATAGTACGTACGTCGAGCCGGGCCGCATTCATCGGCGCCCCGCCAGCGGCGGCGCTACGTCGTCCAATGATTCGCGGCCCGACGGGGCATGCAAGGTTATAAATGGTTAACCCACGAAACTTATTTATAGATCGAAATAAATTATTTATTCGCTTATTTTTAATTTATATGTGGGTTTATGAGTTACCACTTACACTTCAGAAGATATGTACCGATCAAACGTTCACTTTTTTTGGTTTGTTTTTTTATGAGAATAAATGGAATAGATCTTAGAGTTCTGACAAAAGTCACGCTCGAGGTTTTAAAAAGCAGTTGGCAATGGTGATTAGCTAGTTAGTTAAATCTGAAAAATAATTTCCCATCTTCTGAATGTTAGTTTTTTTAGTTCAATCTATACTTTCTCGTATTCTTGATGAAATTTTGGACTATTTAAAAGGGGCTGAAGATTTTGAAAAGCTGCGGCTATCCAGCCCTCGCAGGGCATACGTATGGCGGGCACGTAACGATCAACATTTTGGCTTCAGAGTTCAGGCAGAAAGAAACCCAATCCAAATGCATGTACTTGTACTAGTAGTTCAGAAATCAGAATTAGGCTGCACCCATGTCCTAACTACTAACAGTTGATCAGTTAATTGCAACAGAGTGTATCAGCTGTATCTGTCTGTCCTTAAATTAATACATTATGCATACAAAGTCAATCTAATTTTTAATTTCCAGCACTTAACAATGCAATCTCACAAAACTCAATCCATTGTCCTCGCGATTAAAAAAAAACATGTCTGCTCCCGTGACAGTGCAGCATGATTTTGATCAACGACTAGAGAGAGCGTCAATGATGGTCATGGAGAGGAATTTGGCTCCTTAAATTTAACTTCTTGGTGATTTGGTTACCGATCGAAAATGGGCTATCTGGTTCTCGTCTTCAGTACATGCTGCAGGGCCCGGGTGAGCTCGATCGATCAACCTGTACAATTTGCCTGCATTTTAAGCGATCTCACCTTACACTTTCCGTAACATATTGCATGTCTGGGTTCGATTTGGACACTGTTAACTAGTCGCCTTGATCCACCTGGCCTGCTAACCGCTTTCATCATTGGATGCATCAATCGCCATAATTTTGCTTAGGTGTTAAACACTAGGCCCTGTTCCAGTTAGCATAAGTGAAAGCTTGATCTTGTTGTTCTCATTATCACTCATGATCAACCACTATGCACACTAGATGCTACGAAAGAATTAATCATGATCTGATCGGTGCAAACAGTTTCATTTGTCTGTGTGCACTGTTGTGCATAGATTGGAAGTGTTCTCAGAATTTTGAGTTCAATAAAAGCTTCCATTATTAGAAAAACAGTTTGATATACTTCCCTTGGCATCGAATGGAATGCTTTCCACTTCCTTGCACATTTCATTCAGTCAACCAAGCTAGGAGATGAACAAGTTATCTCTTGTGCAGTTGTGCTTTGCTCTACTTTCTATGCTTTTTCTAGAATGGTCATCGCGGATGAAATGCTCACCTAAATATATTACTTTACCTCTGGTGTTGATTTCTTCCATGAGTGGCGCTGTTCTTGCTGGCTCAAAGTTCCGAGAGAGCGTCGTCGTTGGTTCGATACGATTGTGACTCTTAGCGCTTGGTCTATTTGTAAGGAAAGAAACAATCGTGTGTTCAACAACCGTTCCAGGTCCTGGCCTAAGGTTGTCACAGCTATGGCGCAAGAGGCCACCCTTTGGTGTCTTGCCCATCTCCTGTCGCCAGCGCTCCCTAATTAGCGTGTTTAGTCGTTCAGTCATCACACTGTAATAGTGAGAATAGGCTTAAGTCATTGTTTTTCTTTTTCCCTTTTCTTCCCCCTCTCTCACTTCTGTGTTTGCCGTTTGTATAAATTTTATTCCTCTTAATATAAAAATGCGCAATCCTTTTACGTATTCCCTAAAAAAAATATTACTACAAACTAAACGTCTTACACAGGGCAGGTTTTAGCTGCGTAAGTGCACAAGCCCTCTAGAGGATAAAGTGGAGGAATACACGGAGGGATTACAAACAAGAGCAGAAACGATGGTCACCACAACCTCCTCAAAACGCAAATTGAAACATACTAAAAGGATTAAGAGAAGGAAGAGGTGCTAGACGGATGTTCAGCCGAACCACAGCTACTACTTTCTATGCTGATCATTCAGCCGAATCTGCATGTGTTGCAATGCTTTTCTCACTCACTTTGCTGAAAATACAGGCAGGCACCTAGTCCTATTCTCATCGACTAGCTGCTTCATGCAGGTTCTATCATGCTGGTTATTCGCTCCAAGTTCCCAAAAGGAAAAATGCCACAGCTCACGAGTTGGATATTGGCCCTAACTGCTGCTGATCGATATCATGTTGTGGATTGGAAGCAAGGCACATGCACTGCAAAAATATTCTGTCAAGTCACATGGCCAATAGAGAGAAAAGGTATGTGAGAAGAGAGTGCCAAGAGAGCAGAGTTAGCAAGCACTCATTTGTGCTTTTCTTCCAGCTAATCATCGATCCATTGACTACAGGAAAGCCACAGTGTAGAACCAAGTACACCACCACATGTTCAGTACTATTACTATATCAATCCTAGAATGAAAGTGCCCTGCTTACAACTTAATTTAGGTGATTAGCTTATTGTACGATACATGAAAGTTTACACATGTAGGAACAAAAGTACAAACTTCAGGCACTACTATAGTATATATCAACACATGTTTGGTGAGTTCAGTTAGGTTTACAGCTTAGCAAAAGACACCTGAATTTCATAGTCAATGTCTATAGGTGAAGACCAGGAATTTACAGAAGGATGTTTGGTTTGCCAGATTATTACATGCTGCATCTTAGTTGGCATTTGGTTGGTGGATGGTAGAGCTAGAGGCTAGAGAACAATACTACTATGTCACCAAAGATCCAAGGGAGAACAGACAAAAGTTGCCCCTAGTTACATGTATGCAAATAGTAGAAGTGCTGAAGGTTTTAAACTCTGAAGTTTTTCAGATTCTCAGCAGGTAGAGATATGATAATATACATTATCATTGATTGCAAGAT